CTGAACGGAGTCGTCCACGCGTCACCTGTTGCGTCTTGTCAGGGGCGAGTGTGAGTGCATGTCTGTAAAACGTATGCTTCAAAGTAAACTATTCTACAACAAGCGAGTCTGGCCCTTCGGTCGCACGGCTGAAACTGTAAGGGAAGTGGCAATGGTGTGGTGTCCTGTTTGTAAATGAATCTGGGATGGAAATGATGGAGTGTAGAAATGTAAAGTGTGCATGCGGTGCTCGGCGAAAGAGTGAGAGCTTGGAGGGAACATTGCACAAGAGCATCAAATGCTGTCTTAACATCTAACATAGTACCCAAGTGAGTCACATGCTCTGGCTTCCTGTCGACTGTGACCGCCTAGAATCGACTTAACAGGATGTCTTGTGTCCCACAGGTTAAGGTCACATTGGAGGGGGGGATTGCAAGCGACGAGGCTGCTGCGTATATTTTTGTTGTCTCATTGTTGCACCTGTGTTTTATCGTGTGGGGAAAAAGTGGTGAACCTGTCGACTGTCACAGAGTCCCTCAGGGGGGCATCAAGTGCACGACTCACGAGCGCCCGTTTCCTGTTGCGGTCCAAGCCCCGGCGTTGGTATTCATTGTGTGTTAGCACCAACAGGCCGTCTCACTCACAACACAACATGAAAGGCTGTCATATCGCATTATACGCTCACCCGCTTTGTTTGAACACACTTCTGGCGCTGCCCCTTGAAGCTATCTCGTTCGGTTGTTCGGCACTCGTGTGTCTCTCGACGACGAGCCGCGGCATGTCAGGAATTTCCTATTAGCTGCGTCGAACACGCAGAGAAGAATCAAAGGAATGAGTCAAGCGCAAACGGAGAGAGGGTTTGATATTAGAGCAGTCTTACTTTAAATGTCATGACATTTAGAAACTTCCATGATGAAGCCATTTTTTTCTTGTTTGCCTTGAGCAAGAAAGGCAGCCCTACTTTAGTTTCAGACCGAAACTCAACATCACCCCTGTGCAGGTTTCAACATCATGTTTCTCTTGGTACCCCCTTCACCCCCGCCCCAAAGAAACCACTATCAGCCACAATCTTGACTTTATCAGATCTGTCGAGCGCATCGATTTGTTGCGTGCTCGCATTAGCTGAGATGTGTGTCGTGTACGATGTCAAGATGACACCGGGCGTCCCGCCTCTTTTGCAGTCCTTGTCTGGACTTAATATCTGCAATTAACCTTCATATTCTTTCTTTTGAGCTGCTCTTACTGTAGTTCGCCACAGCATTGTTCACAGTCGACTCCTTATATGGTTCTCTTTCCATACCCTTCTTTCCTGCAGTTCCCCCGCCCGCCCACCCCCTCCCCTCCTTTTTTTAAATCCTGTTCCTTTTCATCCGCTCTCCTGCTGCTCAGATCTCGTCAGTCCCATTTTATCTTCCCCTCACTTCCTCTTTTGCTCTCCCGTGATGATCGCCCGCATGAAGCAATGTCCGTGTAATTAAAATGCATACCGTTCATCTGAGAGGAAGGGAGTCTCCTCGGTTCTGCATCAACTCACAATGTAGCCTTGAGAGCTGTGCATGTAGACACTTTCGCAGTTTCACTCACTGTCTCATTGCCGTGCTTCATTGTGCCAAGCCCGTTGTGCAGTTGTGATTACATTTTAAACATGAGCAGATTCCGATCGGCCGATTAAAAACCGTACAATCGCGATCATTTTGAAATCACAATTTAAAAAAAACGGTTATTCATTGATTTAATTAAACATGTAGCATTTATTCAACTCAACTTTAAATGTAACTTAAAATAACAATCAGAGATTCAGTTAGTTACAAAGTAAAATAACGATATACAGTGGTACCTCTACTTACGAAATTAATATGTTCTGGAAGAAATTTCTTCACAAAAAAAAAAAAATGTAAGTAGAGACGTGTTTTCCATATAAATGCCCTAATTCGTTCCAAGCCCCTCAAAATTCAGACATAAATGTTTTATGAAGCATAAAAATGCATCAAAATATGTAACAAACATGTTACCATTAGATTATTGCACAATAAATGAGAGTTGTGCATAATGTAAAAAATAAAGAACAGAGTAAAGAATAAAAATGTTGGTCATTTAACTTTTAACTGCGTCCTCATCGTTTTTAGTGCTCTTTAGTTTATGTTGTCTCTCAGAGTGGTTTTTCCCTGGCGTTTTGTAAAGAACTGTTCCAAGGACGTTTGTGTGAGCGATCGCCCGACTGATGAACACTTTATATTTTCCCGTTGAGGCGTTTCATAACTTGAAAATTTCGTATGAATAGACGTTCATAACCACTGTATTAAAACAATGACACTCAAAACAAAACACCTGAGTTTTCTATTTGCCCATCAATGGGATTTTACATGGCCTTTATCATTAGCACTGGCGATGTTTTACAAACAAGTCAAGATGCTTTCATAACCCGTAGGAACTTGCACACACCACACCGCTCGGTGACTTGGTTGTATTTCTTAGATTTCTTTTTTGGAAACTGATGATTCTTGAGGGCTCTTGTGATTTTTCTCTCTTTACTGGAGGTAATTTTTTTTGGGCCACAGGAGAATACGTGTTTGTCCTCTTGGCAGAGGAAATTGGCACACCTCTGTATTTGTGTAGTTGGTGGATGGGCCGGAGCACGCCGTTCAGTGAAGAGACACGCTTCAAAACATACTCATCACTCCGTCCAAACTGCTTCATTTGCTTTTTGTTTACCACGTTATTCATGCCACTTTATGGATAATCTCCACATTTCATCCATCACCCACATTGTCATGTCGGGCAATTAAAATTGTGTGTTGCCCGAGGGTTAATCTTTCAGCACTAACTTATTTTGCAGCTGAAAATTGTTTTCAGCGAAGGGTAAAGCCAGTTCAGATGCATAGCTAATTTGATTAGCGTCCCCAGTGCAAACCATCTGGACTAACATCTGTTGACTGAGATCTTCAGCAGCTGCAGTTCAGCTTTGTTCTGACAGCAGCAGGAGTGGGGCGCAATGATTTTAATGGCCTTTTCCAGTCAAATTTATGTTGCATCTTTTTCGATGACACGACCTGAAAAATCTTTTTCGGCCCCATGTCGATATTGCAGTGTCACAATTTTCTCACATCTCACAAAAAAGGGACCGATGTCAAAATGGATCAAACTAGGGCTGGGCATTGTTGAGGTCAAACGCGGCTTTCATCCGTACAACGTAAATGACATTCCAAGTGTCCTCCACTGACCAGAGTTGCTGAATCGACAGTGTATCGCGTGGGAAAGTATTACAGTGTATTGATGAATCGATATTTTTACCCACGTCTTGTTCGAACACAGGAAAACCACACAAACACATCTTGTCGAAAACCACTACTACAAAAACGTTGACTTCCCCTTGTGCTGATGCATGATGGGTACAGATCTTGATGTGAGAGGCGATTGTATTTTTTTTTTCTCCCCTCTCTTTTCAAGATCTATTTTTCCACGACTCACAAAGGTTTGGCTTCGGCAGCGTACACAATTTTGCAGTCGGCAATGTCACAGTGGGCGGTGTGACTGTCCACAGTGGAATCTCTGCTCTGCATCCCTCTGTAGTTTAGTGACATGTGAGCCACGCCATACATGCTAGTGCTCGCTCAGTCCGAGTGGATACGCTATGGCTCCGCTCCTTACCGTCTGATGACACAGTGCTATTCTAAGCGTTGGTTTCCAGGTCGTCAGATGTTCCTAATGTTACAGTTTGTGATCTTGCTGTTGTATTTAAAGACCAAGTTTGATGCTGAGTGCCCTGCCAGGATCCCATAGAAGGCCAGATAGCAATTGTTCAAAGTTTTACTAGAACGGAGTCATGATAGAAAGAGGGACTGATAGGGCTTTTAATTTTTGTATTTATTTTTTGTCATTGCTTGGCTTATTCTATGCCAAAGGTCACAAATCGACAGATGGTGGATCTTTAATTGTTCACTTGCTTTTAATTATGTGTAAGACTCATTGGTATTTCATGGACTTGAAGTTGTGTGTAATTGGCTTTGTTTTAATGTGAAAACTAAATTTTGAAAAAAATAAAACCAGCAACAATGTATTGGACAATTAATGGTTGCATAGATTACTTTTAGGCTTAGTTGTAACCACACGGCCCAATGACATGCACTATAACTCTTCTAATGTAATCCGGCTCAGCCAAATTACTGTTTAGGTTCCCAAGTGAGGACCACTTTTCTCTATTCGACTTAAGTTCCCTCATCGTCTCTCCCGTGAGTAATGTGCCAAAGTTGGAAGATTCCTGTCAGTTGTCTTTTGCGGGCTTGGCTTTCTCACTTGGGGCAAGTAGCTAAGTTGGTACTGGCATGCCAGTGCTGTGAGGTCAACCCAAGATGCCCCTGCCATTAAATTGAGTGTGCCCCCCCTTTATACTGTATCTGTTTTGTAAACGCCCTTCCCCAAAATGTTTCATTAACTCATCTTTTGTGGTTTATTTATACTTAAATGCATGTTTCATGTGAGACTTTGTGACCTCATTTCTTAAATATTGGACTTCATTAAAAGCCTTTATGAAATCTTGCAAGAGAAATAAAACACTGCTGTGGTGAAGGGGTATGCTATAATAAGCCCAGGTATAGAGTGTAGTATCACCGTTTACTGTATCATCTGCGAATGATTTACTTTCTTTTTCTGTGCATCGTCATTGCCTCCAAGTTTTTACATTGCAGCACGTGCTTGCTGTAATGGAGTGGAGGAGACACTTTTCACATGAAGAGACTCCAAACAGATGAGGGTCAATGAATAACTCAAGTGTAAATGACAGACTGGTAGGCACATGAAGAGACTCCAAACAAATGAGGGTCAATGAATAACTCAAGTGTAAATGACAGTGTGAATGCTTCAAAGTTGAAAGTTTACACTCATCTTCCCCACAAGTGCGTATCTGTTGTGGTTGAGTGTGCAAAAAAAATGTTCAAAAATGAATCATGGACACTCTGGAGTATTTTGTTGTATTAACTAAACCCGCGTGTGTCATACAAAATCTTCATTCTGTGTTTCTGTAGATGCTTTGTTGGCAGACCTTGAATCCACGACATCCCACATTTCCAAATGTCCACTTTTCCTGTCTGATGAGGCGGCCTACTCCCTCCCTGTTGGAGGTCAGGCGCCGCAAGAGGTCTGCTTTTCACCCCAAGGACTACCCATTCCCTCTGAGAAAACACTCAATGGAGTTCAGGAAGCAGACGCAAATGCTCTCGTAAGTATCATAACTCTCAAGATGAACTGAGGTCGGTCACGGTGAAAGTGTACCTTCATTTAAATGGAATAAAGACAACGGACTAATTCACATGTGACTCCCTCGCCTCAGTCAAGAGAAAACAGCAGTCCACCTCAACACCCTGGAGAAGAGGACCACGTGTACAGGTAAAACACTTGGTTGAAACATAAACCGCAAAAACAGCGTTAAAATTTGAACTTTGGATACATTGTCTTTGAAAATGATGTTCTGACCATTGTGACATTGTGAATCGATGTTGAAGGTCTCCGCTTTATGTGCAGTTTTCCGAATAAGCAGAAGAGCAGTGAATCTTCACCTGCCATTAACCAGTCATTTGGCAACAACCTGTCAGAGCTGGATCGCCTGCTACTGGAACTCAACTCCGTCCAGCAAAGCACCCCCGCCTTCCCTATTGAAGGTGTGCCCGTTAACCGTTTCCATTCAACTTTTCACGATTTCAAATGACAGCAGTTTACAGTTTGCTGAAAGCGTCAATATCTTATTTTCGTCTATAGAAGAGGCCGCCCCGCCTCTGCCTGCTGGCGTCGTGGTCCAAAGTATTCAGGAGAACGGAGTGTCCCTTCCATCCCAGGACTCGCCACCGCTGTTGGAAAAGCCCACACGCAGTGCTGCGGTTCGAGGAATAGAAGATGTACGGCCAAGCGTGGAGAGCCTTCTGGATGAGCTGGAGAGCTCCGTGCCCTCAACTAGGTGAGAGAAATGAATCCGTCAAGAACGTGAAACATTGTTGTGACAAGTCAACAATTGAATGTGAACCATTCTTCCTTTAGTCCAACTCCCTTGTTGGTATCGGATGGGCAGATTGATGGACAGGAAACACAAGGACAGCAACAAGCGAGAATGTCTGCCTCCTCTGCCACACGAGAGCTCGACGAGCTGATGGCCTCCTTGTCGGACTTCAAAGTCCAAAGCAATGTGAGCATTTTTAAAAAAAAATATGTTTGAATGTATTCATTTGAGAATGATATCATGCATTGCAACCATGTTATTGAAGGTCATAAATTGAAAATTCGAGATACAATTCGAAATCGCGATGAGTTAAAATGGAAAATGTTAACGACTGTATGCCCGCACTTCATTTGTGTGTTTGTTAGACTTCACCTTCCATTCCCTTCATCTCAGTGTATTTTTCTTGATCTGTTTTTCTTTTCTCTATCACTGTGTATGTCTTTGTGTATACGTATGTGTGTGTTACGGGCAATCTGGCTCTCAACGGTCAATGAACCAGGAAGTGGTAGACCCTTCATACCCTGCGGACTCACCAATGATAACCCCTGACGCTCCGTCCTCAGTTACCCATATCGACTCGTGTGTGGATATTGATATGTTATCTTGTTGCACCACACCCCCCTGTACTCCTCATCCATTGGAACTCCACATAGATGAAGACGGTTGTTCAAGCCCTACCTTTACCGCTGGTTCGACTGTCACGGTTGTAACATCCAGAAAAGAAGTTGGTGGCGTTGTCACTTCAGAGATCTCCTGTTTGGAAAGCTTCCGTGGTTCGAGTACGCCAAAGCAACTCATTGAAACTGAACTTGGTAGCTCATCCGGTCCATCAGTCACTCAAGTCTCTGCTAATGAAGCCTCAAGTTCACTTGGAAAGAATTCACGTAGTTTCAGTTCAGGCCCTGCTGCTAGGAAACCCTGTTTAGTTGATGTTTCTATCCCAGTTACGCTGAGTTTGTCCAAACAGTCGAGTCTAACTTCGAGTCTGAGCTCTAGTCCTAAAGATTACAGTCCAGAACCTGCACATCCTGGCCAAGATATACTTGAAAAGAAAGAATGTCCAGTCACAGCAACAACTCCAGAATCATTGCCAATATCGAACAGCCCAGTAACCGTTCCAAAACTATCAGGACAGGTTTCAAGTCATGTTCCCAGGAGTCCAGTCTTAATTCCAAAACTCTCTAGTCCAGTTCCAAAGCTTGCAAGTCCGGTGACTGTCCTCGATGTCTCACAAACCGATACCAAAAGTTGTACTCCAGAATTAGTCCCTCAGACTGCACAGCCAGTAATACGTCCAAAGAATTCGAGTCCAGCGACAGTTCGAAAAAGCGAAATTACAGCTCCAAGGAGTCCTGCTTTAGTCATCAAAAAGACCTACGCGGTTGCAGATACTAGTAGTAGTCTCAGACATTGGCCAGTTTCACTCTCTGCTGCATCATCGGCAAGCTCATCTTCCCCTACAACAACATATCAGCCAAGTGAAATAATGGACCTATCGTGGCCGTGCCGGGAGCCTGTATTGGATCATGCCTTAGATAAACTTCTAGCACTTGACTTGACTCAACCAGATGAAAAGCAAACACCCAGTTGTCTTGCGCCTGGGGATGAGAGCGGACCATGGGATGAAGATGATGGCACGTACCCAGATGTGAGCCGAGAGGGGACCCTGACACCAATGACTGAAGCCAGTTGGATTGATGAGTGTTTCACCCCCTCCACCAGCCCAGGGACACCAGATGCAACGTTGGATCTGCCAACGCAGCAGCCATCTGCCATCGAGCGTTTGTCAGCTTCTGGCCAAGTAGGAGACGCATCAAATCAGCTCCAAAAATAAGATGGCATGAAGTAAATCAATAAGCAACAGTTGAAAATATCCCAAATGGCTTATTCGGGCCGCGGGAACGTTCCTGCGGTTCGACACAAGCATTGTCGAAGTTGAACCAGTGTGGTGTGATGCATGGAGTGTCAATGCTTCAGAATTGCAACAGGCTCCCAAGGGATAGGTTTCTTGTGGCTGATGTCGAAAGAATTACTAAGAGGATGACTGCATGCTCCCACTTGCCTGAGTCAACAATTCTGTTTGCCGCAGGACCTCGCCTGTGATGTTTACGCAATGATGCAAACGTCAAGATTGAAACTTTTGCCAGTGAAAATATGTTTTTAGATACAGGATGTATTTCCCTTCATGCTCAGCCTGGCTTTGGCTTGCGAAAGCGCTTTGTGATGCATCTGTATTGTCTTGAGTCTCCGGCATGCCATGCCTCACTTAACAATAGCGAGCGGCTTGGTTTTGCAATGACAGAAGAGAGTGATGTTTTCTTCGGCAAGAAATTCAATTGGGGATACGTGCGTGTGGTGCAAATGCAGAGCATTTTGACAGCAGCATAATTCGGGTGCTCTTGATTGTTCTTCCTGTGCTTGAAACCCAACTTGGAATTTGGCACAACCTCCACTACTCCCATCTACTCTCCAGCTCAAGTCGGTTATACGTCGCACAAAAGAGACGTCCAACGTGCATCCCATGTACAAGGATGGAGTAGTGCGGCGTAAAATGGGACCGGTTATCGTGAATAAGAGTCAGTCGCAAGATCGGCTCATTGAGGAGCTCGAGGGGAAATTGGGGATCGGCCGGGTGCGACGCCGGCGTAAACAGCCGCCGGATGAGTGGCTGACGGAAGGAGTCATCGTGATGTCAAACCCGCAGCGAATTCGCGAAGAAAGGGCCCTGCCACCAGTGGATAAGGTAGATGTTAGAAACACAGAGCGGCATGATAACATCCAGTTCAAATCTAAAATGGCTGAATGATCTGGGAAATAAGGAAGAAAATATTCCTTTGTGACTTGTTCACCTTTTTTAGTGGCAACTTTTTACTTTGTCAATGCCATTTCTTCTTCTTCCTCCCTATTTGCTGTGCTTTCCTTTCCTCGCTCTTCTTTGCAATTTCCTTTCTCACCCACCCCCCTCCAGATCATCATCCCTCCTGAGTCTCCTGTCCCCCAGAGAAAAGTCCTCTCCCCTCTGAAGTCCCCCGCAACTCCCAAAAAGATACCTCCAGTAAAACAGACCCCGCCGCCACTACCGTTACCCCCCCCCCCCCCCCCCCCCCCCCCCCCGTCCGCGCCCCCGGGAGCCTAGCCCGCCGACTCCCAAGGAGCCTACTCCTCCCCCAAGGGAGCCCACGCCTCCTCCCGTGCAGCCCCCTCCATCACCAAGCCCCCCACCCAAGCCCATCACACCACCTCCGCCCCGCAAGGTTTTTGTATCAGTGACCTGTCAGACTGAGTATGACGCCCTCTTCCAACCTATGCAGGCATGGTTCCCCTCTCTTCACCTTTTTGTTAAAGTCACTCCATTTAGTGTCCTTTAAAACTACTCTAATTTGCTTGCTCGTGAAATCGCAAGTTTATACCTTCTGTATTTATGGCAGCCAAGGGGTTGTTTGATCCTTAGGTCTGTTTTTGGCAGCAAGCTGAAAACCGATAACCTCTTTGCGTGTCGCCTGAAACCCAGTCAGTCCAGGTTATGAGCGGCGCTGACACCCAGGCTCGAGATTACTGAGACCCTTTTTCTAATTCTGATGTATGACAGCGCCCAGACTGCTGTGTTCTGAGTGGAGTTTAAGAGCTTAGAGGCAAGTTGAGCATCACACCTACTGGCCATATGCGGAAATGGTTGGTTTGCGGTGCAACTGAAACTACATTTAGGGCTCACTACACGTAAATCCATTCTTACAGAACAGTCATTAAACGATGCCATAGCTTAAAGACGGTCAGAACAGTATACATTTGTATCATCATAATATGGTGCCCTTTGAAAAATCTTTTAGCTTCAGTAACCTCAGTCCAAAAAGCCAAATGCTAACCCACACATAATCCATTATCCGATCTGTTTATCCTCACGAGGGTCGCGGGTGTGCTGGTGCCGATCCCAGCCGTCTTCGTGCGAGGTCTACCATAGACAAATAAAGACAAACAAGCATTCATACTCACAGTCACACCTACGGACGATTTAGATTGTTCCATTAACCTGCCGTGCACATTTTTGGAACGTGAGAGAAAACCGGAGTACCCGGACAAAACCCACGCAGGGAGGGGGCGAATATGTAAACTCCACACAGGAACGCCGGAGCCAAAATCGAACCCTCCGGACTATGAGGCGAATGTGCTGACCAGTCGGACACCATGCCGCCCTTACACTTTATATCTTTGATTTTTATGAAATTGGAAATTCAAGGTCTTCAAGGGATAGCTAATGAAAGGTTGGTCCAATGAGCTTTTAGACTTCACGCGAATGTTATTTATTTAGTTAGTTTCCTGGACTGTCGGAATACAGCCAACAAACTCAGAAAAGAGAGGTTGCCCCTTTCTTGCCTTTTTTTTTTAACCCCTCATACTAAATCTCTACAATGTCTGTCAGATCCAGTCCCAGGGAAAGACTTCTCCCACCGGACCACCAAAGCCCGCCAATAAACTGGACAACATGCTGGGTAGCCTGCAATCCGACCTGAACAGACTGGGAGTCCAGACTGTGGCTAAAGGTGTCTGTGGTGCCTGCAAGAAGCCCATCGTTGGACAGGTGATTCCGTATACACTGATGTACAAACGTGTCGAACCTGCACACGGTCAATAGCAACCCGTCTGATTTAACGACATTCATGTAGGACTGCAGTACACCAGCTTGACTACACGGTAAATGTGCCCAAGGTGAAAATGAAGTCTCCATAAAATGTTATTAGGTCATAATCATAAAATGCTCTCGGATGCCAATGAGGATTATTTGAAGTTGTCGTGACACGCCACCGTAGGCTAATATTTCTCAAAACAAATCCCGTTGGGGCTTTGTAAGTTCACATTTTCTCTATATCAGGCATTCTCCCTTGCAGCTCATTACATCCCTTGTGCGATTAATCCCTCAGGTGGTGACTGCCATGGGAAGAACGTGGCACCCCGAGCACTTTGTGTGCACCCACTGCCAGGACGAGATCGGCTCCAGGAACTTCTTTGAGCGCGAGGGGCAACCTTACTGCGAGAAAGACTATCACAGTCTCTTCTCGCCGCGATGCCACTACTGTAACGGGCCCATACTGGATGTTAGTAATGCATACATGGACACACTCATGCCATAACCTACTGTTGGATGCGCGGATATTGTTTAGTTATTTATTCCGAGGCTAATGGAACACGGCCATTCATGGATGAGTGACTTCTTGTGTGGTATAGACAGACACATTCATGTCTTTTTTTTCCATGATTAGCAAACACACACACACAATACACAAGTGCTCCAGTGCCTCTGGGAGGGGAAGTCGACAGTGGACTTTAACCAGGGAATGCCCAACATTAGTCACTCCCAAGATTTTCCAATCCGCCGCCTCAGAGATTGTTTGACACATCCACAGTTGACTTCTTTCAAAAGCAACTGGCATGAATAAATAGATAGCCGTACAAATCTATAGTGTTCAATCCAGTGAGCCCCAATACAAAAGCTAGATCAAAATCTTTGGATTAATATTTTGAAATGAAGGTTAAAAAAAAAAAGACAAAAATGGACTCGCGTGTTTTTCACAGCACAGCCACCAATATATTATGCAAGTGGATTCTGATGTTCTTGGAGAGCGTGTGTACACACACGTAATTTGCCTAATCGTACATTAGTGGGTTTCCATTGATTTGCTTCAATTTGTTTCGTGTAGGAGTAGTTGGTCTTTTGTAACCATGCCCCCCCTAGTGGTGAGGTTATAATATGCACATTATTTATACTCATCTGTATGTGCTATGAGGTAATGTGTTATTTTACCCATAGGACTGTTTTCATAAGATAAAAGATCCCTTATTGGTTTCAAAATTGGACAAACTGATCAAGGTTGTTGTTGTTTCACAGAAAGTGGTGACTGCTTTGGACAAGACTTGGCATCCCGAGCACTTCTTCTGTGCCCAGTGTGGAGCCTTCTTTGGGCCAGAAGGTACTAGAGCACTCTATGAATAGATTCAGGTTGGAGTTATGAAAAAAACATGCAGGATCGTCAGCATGAATCATTGCTTCCGTGCAGGGTTTCACGAGAAGGATGGCAAGGCCTTCTGCAGGAAGGACTACTTTGACATGTTTGCTCCTAAGTGCGGAGGCTGTGCCCGAGCCATTCTGGACAACTACATCTCCGCACTCAACTCGCTGTGGCACCCCGAATGCTTCGTCTGCAGGGTGAGAGCCTCGACTCACTCCATCCACTCGACATATAAATAAAGCCCCGTCGTTTGATTTGCACGCTGTCGTTTGCAGGAGTGCTTCACGCCGTTCATAAACGGCAGCTTCTTTGACCACGAGGGTCAGCCGTACTGCGAGGCGCACTACCACGAGCGCCGCGGCTCGCTGTGCTCGGGCTGCCAGAAGGCCATCACGGGCCGCTGCATCACAGCGATGGGCAAGAAGTTTCACCCGGAACATTTTGTGTGCGCTTTCTGCCTCAAGCAGCTCAACAAGGGCACCTTCAAGGAGCAGAATGACAAGCCCTACTGCCACGGTTGCTTTATCAAACTCTTCAGCTAGACTGTGCACCTTTCCTCGCTCTTCTACATGCACACAATTGTTTTTCTACCACATGCATGAGTCTGAGACACGGTGGGTCACATGATTACAATTTCCTGTTTGCGACTTCTGACACCGAAAGGATATTCTTGCCTGTCCAAACTCAGGAATTTGGCTAAGGTTGTTTGATGAGCCAGCCCAAAGAGATTTTTTTTTTAAAAGTCATAATCGTGTCACGCAACAAAAGAACACATGGTCCCGCTCGTGTGTTGTGTAAGTTTAATACGCATCAAAGGGTGAATGTCCCCGTATAAACGGTTAGATTCTCCCAAGTACAGAACTAGACTTTAAGCCACATGGTTCGCCTGTGTTCAAATAGTCTTTTGGAAGTTTGAGTCAGCCGCTTAACTGAATGGAGTGCGCAGAGCTGTTAGAGCATTTGTGTGGCCAATTGGTGTGAATGATATCAACAAACCTCCAAGCAGTTATTGTCTTTGCACTCTCCAAACACAGATCTCTTGATGGGACTGTCCCAGTTGTCACATAGTGAATTTTACTATTTAGTGTGTTTTTTCAAATACTTTTTCTACTCTAATAACACAAAGAAAAGAGATCCTATGTTTACTGGCTTGAGGTGCTTAGGTACCTTTTTACAACTTAAGGTGGAATCTATGTTAGTTGGTAACCTACTGGTGACTCTTGTACATGAGTTATTTTATACCACCGGGAGTAACCTTATCGCCCCTTTTTTTTTTCTTTCTATCGTGCCATTCACTTCGATATAGGGCACGCTTTATGATGTTTGACTATTGATGCAATTAAAAAAAAAAAGGAAATGCAGATATTTTACACCTGTATTCATGCACAATTTCTAGAATTGCAACAAATTCTTATCAGGACAAAGAATGCATCTCTTCAGATTTTTACAATTGTGAATTGATCACTATTGAATACAAAAAAAAATGGTTCATGCGAGTGCATGCCACTGTCATTTACATAATTTTATAAGCACTAACAACCAGCGGACATCACAAAGTGAATCAACAGTAAATTGATATCTCGATCCTTTGACAGAACTGTGTTTTGTCGCTGTTTTGATGAAAATATATATTTGTAACTCACATAGCTGCGGAGAGAGCTGGCTCTACTGGCATGCAGGCTGATGGTAGTCCAGCCTGTTCTCTGCCATGCACACACAAACACACTTGCTAGCTTGTTGTTCAAAGAAAACCTAGTGCTCTGTTTTTTTCCTCTCAACCAACAAAACTCTATGTGGTTGCTACAAGTGCCAAACGGTAGCAGGTTTTTGTGGGCTACTCGCTTTATTTTTATTTCCTCCCACGTGCTTACTTTTCATCACAGACTGTGCAAGGTGTTCAATGTACATTTTGTAGTTGTAAATCGGAGGAAGCAACGTGCCAAATTTGTCAATGCAATAAGGTCGAATACACTGTGTGGGTCTTTCCTGTGATGTGAGCCTTTCTGGTGTGAATTCAGGGAGACTTTTGTCTGCTGTGCTGCATCTACTTTCTAAATGCGCAAAAGTACACTTTAGCAGAAGAGGATGGCGTAGGAAAGCCCCTTGGTGAACATTTTAACTGGCAATGACTGTACACATCCTGCTGATTTAAACGTCCACAGCTTTTCGCTTGTTGCACCTTGTTAGACTATTTGCCTACAAATATTAACAGGAATTGATTTTACAGTTACCTCCTAGTTTCTGCCTGTCGAGGAAAACGAGCTTTCTACTTTTAAATGAGATTAAGCGAAATATAAGAACATTTTGTGATGCTTACGAATTTTATTTTCAAAGGAGCTTTGGCTTGCTTGGGTGCTATGTACGTTTATGTGGGGCCTGATTACAAATTGATGAATCCAACTAATGCAAATAAAATGAGCTCTATTTCTGGCATTGCTTTGTGACTTTTGGTTGTTCATATTCTTATGTTTGTCAACATGACTTTAAACAAATGTCAGGCATTATACAATTGTAGCGTCAAATGTTGTTCATTAACGTGTCTAAAAATAGATATTTTAGCAATTATTTGCTGAGATAATCCACCCACGTCACAGGTGTCCTCTCAAGATCGATAATCTTGCTGTCTCCATTATGATCCATCAGCTCTTCTCTCCCCAGATCGTAACTGAATTGAATAGTCGGGGCCCCACCTAGCGGACAAACGGTGCTAGGACACCATTCTTCGTGATTCCAGCACTGTTTTATGAGAAAGTAAGAAATTATCAGCGCGTAGTCGGCAAAACTGCATCTGGGTGCAATTACAAACGGATGCAATTAAAAATAATGACATGATGCAGTACAAGTGGAGGCGTGGTTGCTTTATTTAAAAAAAAAATTAATCATGCAGTTCATATGCACGTGTCAGTGTTTTTTCGGCGTTAAAAACGTGACTAATAGCTGCAGTGACATTCCAAAATATCTCTCTGATGTGACATTGTGACGTGCAGCCTGTAGTTGGTGAGCATTTGGAGTTTTGCAGCTACCTTCGAGGATTGAGGCGAGCTATCCAACATCTCCACATACCTCAGGTCCGCCATCTTCTGAAAGCCTAAAAAGTCCTCTTCTGACACATGCTCACCTCGGACTTTGAGACTTTGGAGTTTTGGAAAGAGCTGAGGGATTTCAGCAGCTAGTGTTCCCAAATGTGTGGGCCAGGTGTCGACGTGGAGGTGGAGGAGATTGGGTACCTGCGACGCAACGGATGCAAACTCCCCTGAGTTTAGTCCTGGAACACGGAGCGTGAGCCTGCTCACCGAAACTGGGATGAAGCGGACGTAACTGTGAACGCGTGGACCCAATTTGATGACCAAGGTTGACAGGTGATGGAGGCCACTGAGCCATGTTTTCATGTCCTCACTGGCAGTAAGCTGCAGCTGAGACGGAACGTCGTAAACAGAATACATATAGACGAGAACCAGTGTTTGCAAGTTAGGCAGTAGCTTCATTGTCTCACGCAGTAATAAATGATCACAGTGAATGAGCTCCAAACTGGATAGCCCGAGTGTCGCCTCTCCTGGGAAAGATGCGGGGACTCGTTGTCCTTTCACACCACTCCCACAGGTCAATGACAGATGCTTCAGTCGAGGAAGGCGGCAAAGTATAACCGTTAAAATATATGGCGCGCTGATCCCAGTGTCATGACACACCAGAGATGTCAGATTTACAAAGTCTTGGAAAACAAAATCCAAGCGTTGCCTGGATTTCGAGGGGAACTCAACTCGACAGATGCTGAGATGTGTCATCTTCTCTGGTTCACACACTGTGGAGGCGTCCAGCAGAAGAGAGTTGGAACTGTACCTCACAGCCAGATGCGTAAGTTGGGGAAAGTACTTCAAATAGCCCAAACTCTCTTGAGAGTTTATGTCCATAACCAAGGAGGTGATAGACGGTAGACCACGAGCTAACTGCTTCAAGTCCTTCTCTTTGGTGCTCCTCACCACCACGTGATTGATTTTCCTACGACGCAGCGTCTCCCAAAACTGACGGCTGTAAGAACCTTTCGGGAAACCCAGAATTATAGTCCAGTCTTTCCACAGCAATCCGCAGTCAACAAATTGCTTAAAGTACTTGCATGTCGCCCGGACGCTGTGCTTGTCTGCCACGCTGAGATATGACAGTACATGCAGCCACACTTCTCCTGGAAGTTGGTGCAGCGGCATTATTAGGTCGCCGAATGATCAATTCATTCGCTGAACGTTGGATCAACAAAAATCTTGATATCTTGGGAAACGCGCGTGAAGTACTACTCAGCGTGCTGCCATGCGTTCCCAAGTCCATCTGTTCTAGTGATGTGTCGTTCGCGAACGAGCCGGCTACGAATGGTCAATTCGTTCGCTGAACGTTGGATCAACAAGAATCTTGATATCTTGGGAAACGCGCGTTAAGTACTACTCAGCGTGCTGCCATGCGTTCCCAAATTCATCTGTTCTTCAGCGTCAGGCGAAGCGTTTTCTTCTTCTTGTGTAGTTTATTTTGCGGTTTCCAAAACACCGAACGTTTGGTGTGTTACCGCCACTTACCGGGCGGTAGTATAGAGCAGGATACTGTATAGGAAGTTAATAAAACTTTTACAAAAAAATCCTATTTAAAAAAACTTTCGATATCGTTTTTTTTAACTTTAAATTTTGGCTCAGCCTCAAAGTTTGCCTTCCTTTGTCCTCAAAAATGATTGACATTTGCATTGCCCAATAGTAACCATGGTATGCCTATAAAGTCCAACACGATTGGTCAAAGTGTTTGCTATAAAAACCGCCTGTGTCAGTCGACTTCCTCTTTCTTCTACGCAGCCCTAGACGCGGTAAGCCATGTCCTGCTGACAATAAAGCCATCGAAAAAAAAAGCGTTGATAAACTGATCTAGATAAACAAACAGAATGTATAGTCTCTGTTTCAATGTCTCGAGAGCATTTGCGTGTTTTCAACTGCGTGTTGAGTAATACGGCTACGTAGTTAGTCCTGTTGGACACCGCTAGCGTGCTAACCGCCGGCTAACCTTAGCGAGCGCTAGCAATCTAGCACGTGTCACGTTGGTCTTACGCAAATCGAAAACATCTTAAAGTAATAACTTACGACCGACATTTTAACGGGCAGGTTTGCTTGTTTTAAACAGTCATGCCGCGTATTCCACCCTAACGTAGCTTGTAACACAAAGCATGTAAGTAGTGCAATGTCACATTCTAAACATTTAGGGGCCCTGTGTACGGAAGACGAAAATAGTCCGAACATAAACAGCGCTGTGTTAATGATTTAAAAAGTGATGAAGCTGAGGTTTTAAAACAATACCTCTTTGGCTGCAGGTACTACCTTGTCTTTAAAACAGCTCTTAAGCGAATCCTTGGAAGCACTGCAAAGATGCCCAGGGAAGACAGGGAACCGGCTCTCTAAAAAGAGCCGGAATTCCCATCACTAATCTGTTCTTCAGCTTCAGGCGAAGCGTTTTCTTCTTCTGTAGTTTATTTTGTGGTTTCCAAAACACCGAACGTTTGGTGTGTTACCGCCACTTACCGGGCGGTAGTATAGAGCAGGATACTGTACTGTATAGGAGGTGAATAAAAATGTTACCAAAAAAATCCTCTTAAAAAACTTTCGATATAGTTTTTTTTTTACTTTAAATTTTGGCTCAGCCTCAATGCTTGCCTTCTTCCTTTTGCCTCACAAATGATTGACATTTGCATTGCCCAATAGTAACCATGGTATGCCTATAAAGTCCAACGCGATTGGTCAAAGTGTTTGTTATAAAAACCGCCTGTGTCTGTCGACTTCCTCTTTCTTCTACGCAGCCCTAGACGCGGTAAGCCATGTCCTGCTGACAATAAAGCCATCGAAAAAAAAAGCGTTGATAAACTGATCTAGATAAACAAACAGAATGTATAGTCTCTGTTTCAATGTCTCGAGAGCATTTGCGTGTTTTCAACTGCGTGTTGAGTAATACGGCTACGTAGTTAGTCCTGTTGGACACCGCTAGCGTGCTAACCGCCGGCTAACCTTAGCGAGCGCTAGCAATCTAGCACGTGTCACGTTGGTCTTACGCAAATCGAAAACATCTTAAAGTAATAACTTACGACCGACATTTTAACGGGCAGGTTTGCTTGTTTTAAACAGTCATGCCGCGTATTCCACCCTAACGTAGCTTGTAACACAAAGCATGTAAGTAGTGCAATGTCACATTCTAAACATTTAGGGGCCCTGTGTACGGAAGACGAAAATAGTCCGAACATAAACAGCGCTGTGTTAATGATTTAAAAAGTGATGAAGCTGAGGTTTTAAAACAATACCTCTTTGGCTGCAGGTACTACCTTGTCTTTAAAACAGCTCTTAAGCGAATCCTTGGAAGCACTGCAAAGATGCCCAGGGAAGACAGGGCCACGTGGAAGTCAAACTATTTCCTGAAAATCATCGTAGGTACCCACTAGTAAGCATTCCGACTTTTCAATGCGTTTTTATGCCTTTCCTATTCATTATGGACTGTCTCCTGGAAAAAACTCTAGCAACTCCTGGATGACTATCCAAAATGCTTCATCGTCGGAGCCGACAACGTGGGCTCCAAGCAGATGCAGACCATCCGCTGTTCTCTGCGTGGCAAAGCTGTGGTGCTCATGGGTAAAAACACCATGATGCGCAAGGCTATTCGTGGTCACCTGGAGAACAACCCTGCTTTGGAGAAGTGAGTATTACCACTTTCTCAGTTTTTAAATGTCATTTGCAGGTCAGTTTTAATATAGCCTGTGTGGTGCTGTATTGACGTTCCCCCTGCAAACAGAAAACTGTTTCCACGCTATCTCTGTTTGTCCAAACCTCCTGACAGCCAGAGACGCAGGGTTTCAGACACCAGTTTCTCAAAATGTGTAAAATGCTGTCATTGGCACTTTGACAGCAAAGTATGCTTTTAACAGGCTAGTTCCCCACATTAAAGGAAATGTGGGGTTCGTCTTCACCAAGGAAGATCTGGCAGAGGTCAGGGACTTGTTGGTGGCCAACAAGGTAATACAGATGCTTGTACACACTCGTTACTAAATAATACTACGAAGCTTGTTAATAGTATTTTGAAAGCCTTTGCAATCTGTTTTTTTCCTCCTTAAAATGGGTCATCGTCATAAGCATTTTGGATATCATACGCAGGATAGGTTACAATACGGCTAGTTTGGTGCTGTGTTGTCGTTCCCCCTGCAAACAAAAACCTGTTTTCAGCTATCCCTGTCTGTCCAAACCTACTGATGGCCAAGGGACGCAAGATTTCAGACATATCATACGCAGGATAGGTTACAATACGGCTAGTTTGGTGCTGTGTTGTCGTTCCCCCTGCAAACAAAAACCTGTTTTCAGCTATCCCTGTCTGTCCAAACCTACTGATGGCCAAGGGACGCAAGATTTCAGACATATTGTAGTAGAGTTGTGGTTGGACTGTAACATTTTGGTTTAGGGCAAAACTGTAATGCTTCTGGAATGATTTAGGTGCCAGCTGCTGCCCGTGCTGGAGCCATTGCCCCCTGTGATGTGACTGTGCCTGCCCAGAATACTGGTCTGGGTCCCGAGAAGACCTCCTTCTTTCAGGCTCTGGGCATCACAACTAAGATTTCCAGGGGAACCATTGAAATTTTGGTAAGCTTTAAAAGTACTTTGGCTAAGGCAAGGAAGCATTATTTGTATACTGTATTTCAGAGACAAACTAGCTTTATGTGCTTGTTGGAATTAAAAGCATTTGCTAATGATTCGGACATTTGAAAGTATAGCTTAAAAAGAACTCTGACTAAAAGCGTACAGTCCAATCAAGACTAAGCAAAGTCGTGTGCAAGTATTAACTATCATTTCCCTCAGAGTGATGTCAGTCTGATCAAGACTGGCGACAAGGTTGGTGCCAGTGAGGCCACGCTGCTCAACATGCTGAACATCTCCCCCTTCTCCTTTGGACTCATCATCCAACAAGTGTATGACAATGGCAGCGTCTACAGTCCCGATGTGCTTGACATCACTGAGGCCTCCCTCCATGCCAGGTTCCTGGAGGTAAGAGGAAGGCTTGTGTCGGCTCAAGTGTTCTACGGATGGAAATCTATTCAGTGTAAAATATTGTTTCTGTGTAGGGTGTGAGGAACATTGCCAGTGTGTCTCTTGAGATTGGCTATCCCACTCTTGCCTCTGTGCCCCACACTGTCATCAATGGCTACAAGAGAGTCCTTGCCATCGCCGTGGAGACGGACTACTCCTTCCCCCTGGCAGACAAGGTTGGTATTTGGGAAAGTGTGTCAGTCAATGAGTGAGTTTGGTCACAGACACCCGTCGTTAGGCATAATGGATGTATCTTTTGTACTGATTCATATTGAATTACTAATGGTAAATTCTCTTATCCCACAGGTCAAAGCCTTCCTTGCTGACCCATCTGCCTTTGCTGCAGTGGCAGCACCAGCTGCAGCTGAAACTGCAGCAGCTCCGGCTGCTGCTAAGGAAGAAGTCAAAGAGGAGTCTGAGGAATCGGATGATGACATGGGCTTTGGGTTGTTTGACTAAGACTACATCTACAATAAATCAACATCACGATTTCAATAAAATGTCAAACATAGAGCTTTTCAGTTTTTCTATCGCTGACATGACATTAGACTCGCTTGGCTTGTTGGGAGCACATAGCTTGTGATTGAATGTGTTCTCAAATGAATTATCGCTCAAGGTGATTTACCCATCCTAGCTGTAAATTCTTTGTGCAAAAACCAAATCGCACATCAAAGTATGTGTGAAGGGAGCAATGTCTGTGTGAAAGACGAGTGGTATGCCTGAGCTGACTGTGGTCTGCCTTGCTCAGTTGAACAGTAAACGTTACCAAGCCTGAATTGGGAACATCCTTGAAATAGCATGTCTAATATTTGATTGGGGGGGTGGTCAGGACAAGACTGAGTCACTTGAAATTGCTTTGGTGTTGAAGTGGGTTAACTTTATTCGGAGCACAGTGGCCCCTAACTGGAAACTAAGTGCATACGCACACTGTAAATCAACTTGAGTAAATATGAGTTTCCAATCCTTTCACTGACAAAAGTGCTGAGGTTTGGAGCAGAGGTTTCTCAGCAACAAATATTCAAGAAACAAAAATACTCGTCGTGCATGTGGATACAATTTACTTGGAGCAACCCAAATTTCAGGGGCAAATTGCAATTTAGGAGCCCCAAGGTCAGTACACCACCAATGACAAATTTCCTGAGAGTGGGTAATTTAAAGTCAAAACTAGTCCAACTACCCAGAGTTGTTAAAGTGCAGGGAGGGGAAAGTCCGCACACGTTTGTGACACCTGAACCGCAACTCATCAGAGGTGCAAAATAGGCTGTTATCCCGTCACAGACATGAAATTGATACAAGCATGCCGACGTGTGCGAACTGCTTTAATTCAAACGAGTCTTAAATTGAAGACGCACACCGGAAGTGACGTTTAGCCTACGATGCTGTGATTGCGCAGTATAGATGCGCAGCAACATAGGAGGAAAACGTTCACTATGGCTGAGGTACGACATTTTGGTATTCCCTGACTGGAAAAAAAATTAGTGGTCTTCGATATCGTTGCAAGGGAACAACACATTGTCAACTGTTGTTCGTGATGGCAACAACGGACTTAAACTGTAGTGAATTTCACAACGACCAAATTGCTACACTAAGTGTAAGCTAAGTCTCATTAGCAAGGGTGAGGTGTCAATACTCAATTAGTGTATCTGCGATCTCTCTGTATGGCAGTAATGATAACGAACTAAACGAGCTAATTTAACTATCATTGAGCTATCGTAAAACAATGACGACGTTTATGAATGAACGTGAATGTCGATTTCGCTGCTTGTTTGAAAATTAAAGAAGTTGTGATTTGTTTGTGAAGACTCACAGTTTACAGGAACTCCAACATCCCGTTGTCAGCACCAAGGTGTTCATCCAGAGGGACTACAGCTCAGGAACTCTTTGCAAGTTCCAGAACAAGTTCCCCGCGGAACTCGAATCCAGGGTACGTTCTTGGCCGGTGAAGCTGTGTGCAGTCCGTACTTAATCAATCCTCACTTGTTTTTGTTGCTCTTTAGCTGGACAGGCAACATTTCGAGGAGACCATCCAGACTTTAAACAACCTGTATGCTGAAGCAGAGAAGCTAGGGGGGAAATCTTACCTAGAGGGCTGCCTGGCCTGCCTCACTGCCTACACCATATTCCTCTGTATGGAGACCCAGTATGAAAAGGTAAGTTTGGTTCCTTTTTTTGGGGGGGTTATTAGACAGATCTCCTGCCTCCTATCCCAGTCACTGGAGTGGTCCAAGAGATCGTTTCAAATATTTAGCTTTATTCTCATAACAACCCATCTTATATGCCATTGTGTAATATTTTTTTTCTTTTCAGTGTGGCCCACATACTACATTTATTATGTATAGAACTGTAATTGTGATAAATTACCACTGCTCCACTCGATGTATGTGTGTGTCTGTGTGCGTGCAGGTGTTAAGGAAGGTCGCCAGATACATTAAAGAGCAGAATGAGAAGGTCTACATTCCCAGGAGCCTCCTGCTGACTGACCCCATTGAGAGAGGCCTCAGAGTCGTATCCTGTGTTTATGTCAAATCATTTTTGCTCAATGACAGGATTTACGTACTTCTTATTAAGACAGATTTTTTTCTCGTTGTTCAGAAAAGCTTGTATTTCATTGGAGCAAGACAGTCGGTGCTTGTCATGTTTGGCAAATCTTGGTGTAACCATCACATGAAAATTCACTTGTAAATCACATTAAATATTGTCCTTAATTGACCATCTTTCAGATTGAAATTACAGTTTTTGAAGACAGAGGGTTTGTCCCAACAAGTTAAGACCCCAGGGTATTGCTTTATTTTTTGTATTATGTACTGTATATTGTTTGTTTAATCCATATTGTTTGGCTTTGAAGTATATTTTCAGAAACTCCAAATTTGACCATTTTTGCAGATGCATTTGACTCTGGAGATTCGATCATATATAGCGTGTGATGTTCCTTCTTTAAATACAATGGGATTAGATAGGTATGGTGCAAATAAAACTACATTTTGCTTATTCATTGTGCTAACACAATCATGTATTTCTTGTGTGCAGACTGGTGACCGACGAATCGTGTGTCCAAACAGACGCTCAGACGTCTGCTTCTCCTGAATCAATGTATATAACAATTTCTTTGCTCTGTGTTTTTTTATTTATATGCTGTATATTCCACTAACTGCCTCTCCTTTTCTTTGTACACGTGGGGACTCTTATTGTACACAAGGTGATCTATAATGCTGATTAAGACAGGGCCTTTAAACTTGTGCCATTTGTTTGACATTAACAGCAGTTCCTCGAATATTTTTTTGCGTGTAATATGTCGATGGCAAGAGTTGCTGTGAATTCTGAGGCGTGATGATGTAATTTGTCATCAGGAAATGAGTTAACGGGTTAATTTTTAAAATGTAGATTTTGTCTATCATGATTTGATATTTTTACATTTTTATAAGAAGACCATTTAGAAGTGACTTGTAAGTTGTCTGAGTCTTTGTGAATGTTTTTATGATCACCACAGAATCACTCGACATTCCACACATGCTTTCTGTTGTAGGGGCGTGCTTTTCTTATTAACCCACATTTATTCAAATCTGGGATTCCTTCAGTTCAGGAGTCAAAGAACTGGGTTCCTCCACCGAACCTACTCACAAAATACATCATGCATTTATCGCCATAAAATTTTATACACTGTACCTAATCGTGGGATCCACATTAGAGGTTTGTTTGTGAAACCTTGATTTCAGTTAATGGCCTTTACTGTTAACCTTTTAGTCAATTCAGCATTTATTGAATGTTCCGTGAATAAACAGTACATGTACACGTAGAATTTTAATTGTTTATTCCTTTTTGAGTTAACTTTACTGCATACTTTTGAACATTGCTGTAGTAGACGGCAAATATATTGAACTCTTGGAAAAATACCTATGTATGTGTTGTTAATAAAATACAACGGTCGCACAACTTTAAGGGTTGTAAGTTGTATGGATTTTAGTTTTCTTTTCCACTCGGATGAATTTTGGCTGCTCTCGGCACCCGTCCCGGAACTACAGTGAGAGATGCAACCAATATTACCACTGGTGAATTTCACGGACATAAACTTTTCTAACTTTTTAAATTAATCACGTATTTATATATTGAGGCAATTTAATTGAATTGTGCGAGAGTTACGTTTAACACTACTTTTAGACTGACTAGTACCGTTTTCAAATCCAGTTGCTAGCTTAGCATGCTCTCAGATCAGTCATTTGCGTTTAGTTGGGTCTGTTTCCTTTGAGCTGGCTCAATAACATTCATTTCGATTTTCTGGCCACACTGGCGTTCCCCTGCTACGACGGAGTTTATCTCCCAAAGGAAGAGCATGAATTTGTGCACCAGGCCTTGGATGAGCTGGAAACATACCAGAAGAGTAGCCCCAAAAGGTAAATGAATGGGTTATGACAGCTTTAGTACGTATTCTGACATGGATATGCTGTGTGACAAATAAGTAAAGCATAAAATTAACCAAGATTTACAAATTAAATAACATTAGCTCATAATGGATGGTAGCTGTGTTTAGTGTCGTGTCAAAAAGTTAATGATGTTCGACTGGCTCTGTATTAACCCCCTGGCTCCTGTGTGTCCCCACCTCCAGTGTACTCCTGTTCCCACCTCTACCCAGCAGACTACGATACCTGATCCATAAGACCGTCGAGGAGCTGCCGGAGCTCACCACCTTCTCTGTGGGAGAGAGCTGGTGTCGTCAGGTGGTCGTCTGCCCCTCGGAGCTCAGGTATGCACAAACCGCAGGAGATCAATGTGATGTGTTACGACGTCATTCACCATTGCATGAAATCATGACAACAGCAGTATTTTATTTGTACTCCACTAGCTGATCACAAGGCAGCCCGTCGTCACATTCGTGATGAGATCCAGGACAAGCACTTTACCAAAAAAAACCCAAACTATTTACAAAGATGAGGCTTTGTTTTGGTTTAGCTATTTCGCACGATAACTTTACAAAAATGAAACTCAGAATAATATTCAACATTTAAAAAGAAAATTGTATTTTTCGTAATGTTTTCCAACTTTAAAATAATTTTTAAAAATTGTATTTCATCGGGAAACTTAAAATATAGTTATCGTGTGTGAACTTTGTCCGTTAGTGTTTTGTGTTTTTCAGCCTATTTAAGGACATTTGTTTTGTAGAGGCGAGGCACAGGAAGAAGACAATGATGCAGACTGCAACTCCAGCCTGGATGAACAGCCTGTTAGAAGTCCTGAAAGTCAATCTTCCAAATCAACTCGAATCAGATCATCCAGGAGGCCAGACAAGGCACTTTACACCCCAAGAGCTGCTCGGCAGAGTCTCCAGAGCCAAAACTCACAAGTCTCCCAAGGAGTCCAGGAGTCGACCTGTTCGGCCTTCATCACCAGTCTATCGAACTCCTGTTCCTCGTCCGAGGGAAAGTCGTCACTTGTATTAAAAGAAGAATCCCTTCCCACTGCAGCAGATGGCACTGCTGACACATTAACGGAAGGGAAAGCTAACTTGAGCGTTCATCAGGATGACGTGACACTTTCCCGCTTGAGTGAAATGAGCCTTCAAGATGACGGGAATGAATCTGCCACATGCGACCTGACTGAAGAGGTTGGATCACCCGTAATGCTTTTGGTGACCTTTTTGCTTCAATGTGTTTTTGTGCATTTCACCGCTCAGATCAAGACACACCTGCGGGAAGCTGTGACTTTCACCGTGCAGCATGCATACAATGACTACTCCGCTTACGAGAATGTGCTCATCACCCCTGAGGAATTTGGCCACGTTATCGAGATCTATGACTTCCCTGCCGTGTTCAAAACAGATGATCTCTTGGATGCCTTCACTGAGTACAGGTGAGGCTTCCTTCACCTGTTCTTAAGTCTGAACATTTACCAGTGAGCCCGGGGCTCCTTTAAAGCAATATTTCCCTGTTTTGTATCAGCGATGGCGGAATGAAGATCACGTGGGTGGACAACACGCACGCCTTGGGTGTTTTCGCCACACAAACGGCAGGTGAGATCACGAACAGAGATTACGATAGTGGTTAGGCAAACACCAGTAATAAATATGAATAGGAGGTGCACCAGAAAGTGAGCTGCGGCGCTTATAAGAAGTAACTTGAATCTGCCGAGTAGGAATATTCCTTAATTGTCATAAAATTTCAGGTTACATTAGTTTGTGTGTGTATGTGTTTCATACAGCCCTGCATGCCCTCTCCATCTGCCACCCTCTGCTGAAGACTCGAACGCTGACTGAAGGCAGCAAAAAGGCCAGAGGCAAAGCCATTCGACGAGCAGGTACAACTATATGTCTTAAACCTTTCCTGTCTTATCAACAATGTTTACGAGATAGTCGTCTTTTCAAATGTTCCACCATTCCCCTTTCTTTAAGCGGCTGTAGATTTATTGAGTAAGCTACTGATTGTGTTGTGCAGAGTTCATTCAGCCGGTGAAGGAGCGTCCGAAGACAGACAGCGCTGTTGCTAGGCGGATGGTGGCCCGAGCTCTGGGCCTGAATGGACGAGGGCGCAGACGAGGGCGTGGACGAGGGCAGAGCTTCTGACATAAAGTGTTGGCCAATGCAGGTGACTGAACCGAGAAAAGCCATAAGTCTCATGTGACAAAAAACAAAACAAAAAACAATTTATCTATTCAGCAAATTAAAAAGCATTCATCACAAAGCTTTTATCACAGAAACTGGGTTGTGCTTTCACCGTCTACCTTTATTGCAGAGGATGTCATCCATTCCCACATATCAATCAAATCCACGAGGCAGTATGTGACTGACACCCTTATAAAATGAAGGGAATGAGTCGCATTTACAAAAATGACAACAACAAAGAGGCATTCTCACACAGACACATTTGAGGCTTTGCAACGGTCCCTGATAGCAATAATTTAATGGAAGATGAGGGGATAATACACGGATCATGGAGAGCGTGTGGAAACTAGAAGCAAAAAGTCAATAAATAAAACATTTTCGAAGGTGAGGTCAAGTATTTGGAATTCAGACTCCTCGGCAGAAGATGCAAAGACTTTACATCGCATCGTCCTAAAGTCATAAAATTAAAAAAAATCAAATGGCATCGTGTTGAATTATTACCTTTCGCCACTTTGATTTTCGGTTGATGCAGAATGTCAATTCCATTCAAATTTTTAAAAATCAATTTTGTATACAGCAGAAGCATTGTGATGTATCCATGTATCCGTCTTCCACTGAACTTCCAAACATGATGTAGCACCAAAATGTTTTTCCTGGACAAAATGATGTTTCTTGTGCTGACCATTCAAAAGGCAATTGTTGGTCAACTTCATTTACAACAATATTTGGCTGCAAAGTTCCCTGACATATTCATTAAAAAGCACCACAAATAAAAATGTACATTTCGACCACGACACCACAAAGTAAGAGCTGTACTGCTTGTGGTCTACAGATTGAATAATTTACGGTATCATTTTCCTCACAGTCAGTTTGAAACAAAAAAAATATATATATCTATATATGGCTGCTTTCTACCACATTGTCAGCTTATCGACAACGAAACAGGATTTGACAGACTTTGACATCTTTCTAACACATTTTGTAAAATGGTCTTTCTGTGAACTTACGACTGTAATACTACACACTGCACATTCAAACATGTTCAAACGTGCCAAAAGTTTCCATTTGTACTTTTATTCGGCGTCCCACGTCCTCAACTACGGCCTCCTTCTCCTTTAGTGGTTGGCGAAATACTCCTCCTCTGCGCTTCATGAATATCCGACCATCTGTCCGTCTGTCTACCTGTGCGAAAGCTGATTGGTCAGCAGCCCGGGAAATGTTTCTTCAGTTTCCGAACTCCGCGAGCCACCTGTGAATGCGGAAGCATTGGCAATGAATAGATGAACAGTTTTCTCGAGCGCTGCCCGTCTTTCTCCTCATGCTCACCTATTTGACAGTTGTACATCCAGACGCGATTTCCGTCGTAGCGGCTGCGGCACTTCATGATGTTGTTGGTGTAGTCGGATTCTGCGACCTCGTAGTTTGGGTTGATCACAACCTGCAATAGCGCTCTAGGTCATTTATCACACACTATTTGTGGCATGTATGAATGAGGTCGTCGGCGCGCGGCTGATTTATCGGCATTTTGGTAGCCTCGAGACGACGCCGGTGAAAGCCGTTTTACCTGGAGGATGTAGTCACCAGGCGGAACATCTGTGATGTCGATCCACTGGCAGTCAATGTCGTGTCTGTAGGTGTCCGAGCAGCCCACCGTGATGCCCTGTGCTCCGAAGTTGGCGCATTCGTATTTCTTCTCGATGCCTGTCAGTGTTAAGACCAGTCATCGTAAGTTGCTAAACTGATATGGTCATCGATGTTTGTGGATAAAAGCACTGTGATGTCATTTTCAGCTGACAGCTACTTTTAAAATGGCCGTCCCCTCAGATGGATGACAATAGGTGGATTTTTGCTGCTTAATTCATATTCCACAGACGCGATATTAATCAGAATGCCGTGTTTAGACTCGTGGGTGCGCGTAAAACATATCGGAGTGAAATTTTGTGGGCTACAGTTCCCCTTTAATGAAGGCCGAAACAACAAACGGATGTACCTTCTTTACAACGCGTGTCCTCCAGACAGAAGCTGGCTTTGTGACCCTCTGCCACTTTAGTTCCATTCACATTCATCAAGTCATAGTGGGTGAACACCTCCATGCTGTGGAAATGTCTGGATATAGATAGGAAACAATTGTTTAAAAGGACCCGTGTATCAGAACTGAACAGCAGTGGATGTTTTGGCATCACCTGTGGCATTCGTGCCAAGTCCAGGATTGATGCCCTGCTCGCGGCCTGAAGTCTGTCTGGCCATTGTTGTGGATCTGCGAGGAGAAGCGCAGCAGGCGGCGGTAAGAGTTCTGGTCGGCCTTGTCGGCACTGCTGGACAGGCACTTCTCCTCCTGGGCACACTGCAGGGCATACATAGGTCTGTCCTCCAGGTAGGCGGTGTGCTCCACTTCCTGGGCGTTCAGGACCAGGTCAGGGGCCGCTGGATAGGACACACCATGAACTCAGTGGGATTGGCAATACTAGCAACGTGTTCCACATACACTACATTTAGCCAGTTTTGATTGTTTGGATGTTCTAGGTAGTCAATAATAACGCATTCTTCGCTCCTTACTCAGAGTACAGGCCACCCCAGCAGCAAAGCGTCCACCACCTTTGGGACATTGAATGTGCTTCCCGTGATGCAGGCACTGATCCAGAGTCAGCTCAGTGCCTGAACATCTCACTCCACTCATCACAATATCATCAGATGTAGCGTCGCTCTGCCAGTACCAAGTTTCCTGAGGAGCACAGAAGACACCCGAAATGGATCAGCTCCGGGCAGAAATGTGTATTTGACACAGCATTAATAACTTCAACTTCATTTTGAAGACATATTGACAAGACTTCGAAAAGGAATATAGCCTCTCTGTGATGGCACGGCGAACCCCGTTCACTTATTCTAGTGATCCATATCACTAATGGATGAAACTCACACACCGTTTTGCCTTAGCGCTGACATGACGGTTCTTAGCAGTGCAGGCCCAAGACTTGAGGGAGGGCCCAGTCTCAATTTCACGGCGTCACCTTTGCTTGACTTTACCAATACAAGCTCTATACATGTACAGTACATCGGATTTTGTTGTTTGGTGTTACCCCTTTTATTTCTTTAGTGAGTGTATGTTTAAAAAAAAACCTCACATTTTCCAACTGTAAAAGCCACAAGAGAGTTTAAAAAAGTTTTGCGGTCAAGCAATGACTGTCATTGCCTTTAAATTTAATTGAAATGGCCCAGTGCATTTTTTTTCTTTTTGCCACAAACTATAAATGGCACAGGTGGAAACATCATTGAGCGTTATTGCTGATCAGTGTCGACCAGAGACATAATCGTATTAAGCAGCTGCTTGGGGACCTCAAGCCTCTTGGAGGCCGCCCAAAAAGCGTCAGGATGATTAAAAATATTACCGAAATAAAAGATGTGATGAGCCTTTAGTTAGTTGCAGCAATCATCCACCTTTTGTTCTTCAACTAAGCACAGTTGTTGAAATGTTTATTTGTAAATGGCCACATACTACACAATAAAGCCGGACTCACCTGGCCAGACATTTATTTTCCCACAAATGAGTCATGTGTGGAAACATTGTCAGCCTTATGATTATCTCGCTGATAAATGTTCTGCCATGAGGCAAAACTCATTACAAAATAAACGACACCCGGCTTGCGGGGGGATCTGTTGTCCCCAAAGTGCTGACTCAGCCTCTTTCCTCGACCACATGGAAAGCGCCTTATAAAAGTCAAACTTTCCGACATGACTGATGAGGAGGATTTATGACGTCTGATGGAAAAGACATGTCATTTTGCACGTGAGTTAAGGAATAGGACAGGCGTGCAGTATAGCATCTCCGCAGTCGTTTGGTGTCATTTATTCCATCTGGCGTGTGCATGCTGCAGCGTTTAAAGTCCAGACAGCCAAAATTGAGCATCATTACCACAATCAGGCAAATGGTGTTGTTTTGAGGGCAATGGGTTGCCTTGTTTATCAAACAGTCAAGTGCTGTTTGTTAGCAAGCTTATAGAAAAAAAAAAATACACAACTTTTTTTATAACGTATGGTAAACTTGAGTGGTGGGTTCTTTAGCATATGAGAACCCCTCAATTATTGCCGAGCATTTGGATGAAGGTGTAACCGTCAAGCCTGACAACTTAAATCATAAAATGGTACGCCCCTACCTGAACCCGGAATTGGCCCGACAACATACCGAAGAATTCTTATTCAGTGGGTCAAGCTTACAGAGTGGCATTCTCATTAGATTTGTCCAGGTGTTTTTTCATTACATTTGACGGTTAACAACATGCCCACACAAGCAGTTGCTCACATGACGTCACCTAATTTACACATACCGTATTTTCCACACTAAAACGCGCACTGTATTATGAGGCGCACCTTCAATGAATAGCCTATTTTGTAATTTTTTTCATATATTGGACGCACCGCATTATAAGACGCAATCTACAATGCATCCACTAGATGGAGCAACGCTCAAGAAAATGCCAACAGAACACGACACTACACCCTGATTTATATAGCGGCGATCAGATGTCAGTAAAACTTATTTAATAAAGCAGCGACACAGTTCACTTAACCAACAGCAAGTTATAACATTGACTCGTTAACGTTGAACTCTTTTGCCGCTGCTCTATTTCTGTGTTCACCTGTGAAACCGATCGCCTTAAGTTTGAACTCTGCGTCGTAAGCATGTCTCTATCTCGCAAGGAGCCATTTTGGGGTTGACATATTACCGTAATTACCCGACACAAGGCGCATCGGATTTTAAGGCGCACTGTGAGCTTTTAAGAAAACGGAAGGCTTTTAGGTGCGCCTTTCAGTGCGGAAAATACGGTACTTTTGGACCAGTGTGAGCATTTGTTAACACCACGCACAGTACTGGACTGTATGTGAACATCTTAAGGGGGCCTCGGCGCAGCCTTATGTCACTGCTCGGCAGTGCCATTTGTTGATATGGGAGAGGCTCTCCTGAACTTCAAACCAGATGCCGTGGCAGCCGCGATGCTCCTGCCGAGGGAGTAAACAAGCGCCTGTGTCGAGGCTTTTGCTGCCTGTTTACAAGACCGCGGTGTAATGATTTTGCCCTCAGGAATCAACAAAGCTCAGGTTGCTAGTCTGAGCTGGTTCTAATATTTATTTAGGTAACTTATTTAGTAAGAGGTATGATGCAGCAAGGCGGCGCACTTCGACAGCGCTGCCAACGACAAGCACCATCATTGAAATGATGTTAATCGACTAGCTCTTGACGGCGTCTGTCAAAATATGAGCAAAATTAGCTTTGTCAAGGCAGAATGTTTGGCACAGCTCTGATATTGGCTCTCTTTCGTTTGGGCGCAAGTACTGAGTGAATGAGTCATAATGAAACCAAAATATGTTTGTGAAAAAATGAAATGTTCCCACCCAGTGTTATGAAACTGATTAATGTCAGTCGAGGTTGCTGTTGCTTCGTCAAAGCCGATTTTGAAAAGGCACGTTTGGAGTGAAAGGGGGACCTGCAATTCGTAATAATATAAATTAGGCCTCGTCAAGAATGATTTCGAGTGGCAACAAGTGCTACCTGAAAGGCGTGACTGGCAAATCCCAAGCCCAGCTGTCTGCACACCACCATGGCCTCCATGGTCCCCCAGCTCTCACTGCATACCGTACCCCACACCAGAGAGCCGTTCCTGTCCGTAAGAACTTCCACGCGGCCCTCGTAGGGATTACGTCCACCGGACAACCGAACCTGTGATGAGGACAAACAGACACGTGTGTCCAGAGATGGCAAATGTACTCATAGTCTGCGCTTAAGTAGACGGACAGACATTTCGGTAAAACTAAAAAAAAAGAAAATACAGACCTGCGTGCTCCGTGTGTAAAAGTATCGATAACAGCAAAAATCTCAAATGTTGTCATAGTTAGGGTGGGAGGAGCCACTCACTCTGTTCTGAAAGCCCATGGCAGGAACGTTACACTTGACTGCGACGTCTTCCTCGTGGCTGCAGCCCACAGAATCCCGATTGAAGTGACACTCAGTCAGAGATTTCTCAAAGCCAGAACACTCCACCTCATTCATGTGCACTGGCCCGATGCCTACAAAGGCAAGCACGTGAAGAACCTTTTTATTCATACATCATAGCTGGAAGGTGAAATCTTCACAATTACAATGAGAAAATCCTACAGGAGTGACCAACAATTAAACGGCGGTGGCCTCGCGTGACCGACTGCCATGTTGGAGTCAACTCAAAGACAAATGTTAGACTTCTCGCTCACTCAGTTGTTTCAAGAGGAAAACGGATGACGGTAAACAACATCCTTATTTTCAAGTAGAAACAAAATAAAGGAATTTCAGTGAAGCACGTATTCCACAAAAGTGTGTCTGAGTATTCTCAGCATGTTGGCTTTCTTCCCGTGCGACTGAGGAGGAATGTCCTTGGTGGTGTGCGGCCAGAAATGTGCTCGCCACCGGAGGGAGTAAATCAACAACAAGCAGAACACTGAGCCTGAAACTGCAGCACTTACTTATTAAATTCCCTCCAGCCTGTCGTAACTGTTACATGATCACATTTTGTAGAGATTACAAAAGATTTTGGTGGCTGTTAAAAGAAACCCTGTCAAACAAAATGTCTTCGGTGTGTACTTTCAGACACCGGAGTAGCAAGTAAAGCTAATAATCAGCTGCGTAATAAAATAGCTTATCTTGTCTTTTTTTTTTTTTTTTTTTTTTTAAAGCATATGGCTAATCAAGTTACGGATTTCCCAAAATCATCATCATCTATTTCGAGTCTGTGTGTGGTACGCTTTTTACAAGCAGAGCTCAACTCATGAAAAAGAACATGCGCGCTGTCCAGATCAAATTCCTCCTCTGGATTTCAGAACAGCTGTTTTCTTTGCCGGAACATTTTGTACTCTCATCTTCTCTCCATTCACTCTGAGAACATGTGGACAACTAACTGCTTCAACAAATGCAATTCCTGTAGTGGGATATTGCATTTCACAGAATCGGGTTCTGGAACACAATTATGTATTGTCCGTACAGTCGTTCGTTGGCCTCTTTTGCTGACTTCAGGTCTAGACTGAGTGAGATTTCATAAAAAAACAGCAGGTGGAGAGTTGACTCTTTTGTCCAAAAGTTTCATTTTCACAGCTGGATTCGGGTTGAATGGAACTCGTATGCGTATTGTAATTTTTTTTTCTTCGTGAATTATAATTTAAATAAGAGAACGATCAAGTCTCTGAAAAAAAAGTTGTGTTTCAGGCTACCTTGTCCCATACTGGCACCGATCAAGGCCTCTTTGGCGCTGCCGAAGCCCAGCTCCCGACAAACCACGGTGGCAGCTCGAATGTTCCAGTTGTCCTCGCACACCGTGCCCCACTCGCCGTTCCGCAACACCTCCACGCGACCCTCCCCGATCATGGCTCCGCCTTTTAGTCGCACCAGGGGTTGCTATGGTGGTTCATGAGAATGGAAAAAAATAAAATTTGGGATCACAGCCTTTAAATTCTGTGAATTTGGACCTCCTTTTTCTTGCATGCCAAGTTTACCTCCACTCTGTATGCCTTCCTGTAGCCCGTGCTGAGACTGGGAGCAAAGGTACGTCCGGGAACGCAGCTGACCACCACGGGCATTCCCTGCTCACAGGTGCTGTTGCCCTTCAGCTCGATTTCCCTGCCCAGTTTGCAGTCCGACAGGTCGGCCTCGTTGCCGGTGCAGTTGACGGAGAAACCCCAGAAGTTCTTCTTGCGCCTCTTGGCCAGCAATCTGGGATGGGAAGCAATAAAACATTCGATTTGTTGGAGACACGGACGGATGGAAGCCATTAACTTCACATTCATTTACTCCAAAGCCTTTTAGACACATTTAAACACCCGGCTGATCTCCCATTCTTGAACGAACTGACATCCAAACAGCACCAGCTCGAGCAACTATTTATCACTGAAACTATTCTAAAGTGTATTTGCATTTCATCATTGCTAGCGCGTATAAAATAATCAACATTTCTAAGCCAGGTGTTCGGGCTAACGTCAGATAGATGAGACTGCCCATACTCTATCAACAATGACATCAGCAATGGTTGTGCGGTGAATGATCGTTGTTGTGCTATCAGTATTCCTCATTGTACATTTGTGTACATGTCCTCAATGTATATTTTGTGGGATAGAGACAGAGCCCTGCCGCAAATAGCCAAAATATACGTCCCAAAAAAAGGTTCATACTGCCTAATAATGGCCCAAGATGGCAGCAAAATGCTAACGAAGCTCCTAAACTCACTTCAAAATAGTTCTTTGGCACCAAGAAGACAACCGGAAGAAGAAATTACTCATGTAGCTCCTTGACTTCAACAGTTTCTTGGTAACACCAAAGCATTACTTTTATATTACTTGTACGCAAAGCTTTGTCCTCAGAATAAAACCAGCAACAGATGAATTTTTTCTTAAATTAAATTAGTAAATGCTTTTTGTTTAGTTTTGTTGCTATAGTACTACAGCAGCTTGACTCCAGTCACTGGCAACAAATTCCTTGTGTGTTTTGACACACTTGGCCAATGAAGATCATTCCGATTCTGAAGAAACAACAGTCATGTTCAAGCTAGGAGCACAAAAACAGTTTTGTGGTGAGAACACGACCCCATGGTCAACTCGAAGGAAACCAACTGCGGCCAACCTCGAAGTACAATTTTAGCTTTCCTCAAAATATTGTTCACAGAATGCGCCTTTGAGTTGGTGGAATGTGCAGAAAATGTGCAGTGTTTGTCACATATTTTGTGACCCCCCCCCCCCACCCAAAGCCACTCCTTGCAGCACCAAATATTTGAAGTTGAAAACAAACATGACATATTGCTGCTTTGTTTTTCCTCCCTGAAAAATGAATTTCGGACCTTGACTCCTCTCACGTTCAATGGAGTGTAGTTGAAGTTTGAGAAAATTGTGACTTACAGTATTAAAAATTGCATGAAGGGTGAATTTATGATCAGTCACATTATTAACTTAAATTAAATTATAATCACCATTAATATTTCAGGCCGTGATTTAAAAAAAAAAAAAGTATGTCATAGTCACTTTTAACTTTGGAGCATAATTAGACACATCTGTCCGTAACTTGTTTATGAGTCAGTCCAGACTGGTACTGCCTTGTGGTAATGTTTCAGAATGCCAGCATGGTCCCACTCAAAGAGAGCAACAATAAGATGCAGGGCAGAGCCAGACGCTTTCCCACAGAGCATTGCACAAACGTTCCCCGGCACACCACCCCAGCCTCTCCTCTATCCGCTAGGATTTGTTTCTGGCTTTGTTTCAAGATTCTCCACACTCGAATCAGCTTCATCTCAGTGAGAAAAGCGGTTAAGGGGTTAAGTGGCCACTGCCAGAAAACCAAGCGGTTATGCAAGATACAATCAAATCAGTTGGCTGTGCTGCAGCTTTTCTAAGCGGCGACATTCGAGCCCCGATATGATCATGTTCCAAATATATTCGCGTTGGCTCACGAAGACGTACTTGTAGGGCTTGTTGTTGAAGCGCTTGTCCGCAGGGAAGCCGTACATGCCACAGATGACCCTGCTGTTCATCTCCGTCCAGTCTACGTTGCAGATCTGCTTCCATTTTCCTCCGTCTTTCACTTCCAAAAAGCCCTCGGTGATGGGGACCCTTTTTCTGTGAGAATACGTGGCCCTTATTCGCACGTCCTCCACACTCACCGGCAAGCCCTGATGTACAAAGGGGATGTTACATTAGTCACGGATACTACACTACTAATAGGTTGCAAAAGAAAAAAAATAATTTCCCAAATTTTACCATCATTTTGTATTTGTAAATTAAAAGTTGCTAAATGACACAGTAGAGAAAGAATGCATTTCCAGGGAGCCATCTGTGGGGGTGCATTTGAACCCTTTGCACCTCACCATATCACTGAGTCAGGTTGAAAAATATGAGGATGAAATCCATCGTTAAACTGACTTTGATGAATAACTGCCATTTTCTCCCTAATAAGTGGGGTACAAACGTAAAGGTCAAGCACAAGAAAGTTTATTGATCGATGAACCGAGAGCCATCGCGGTTGTTTGCGCGATAACCGCCAGTGTGAAGTTCTTCTTCTTTATGTTGCAAACAAGGGGACAGAATCAACAGCGCCACTGCTGGTTCCAACCAAGTACTGCACCCCATTTTGCCTCAATTATTTCATGCCGTGATTCATCAACAATCAATTTCACACAGTCGATTTTTTTTAATGATCAAATAGTCAATTACTATGCCTGCCCCAAGTCCAGCATTTAACAAAAGTTTAGTTTTAAAGACATAATCGATGGTCATAGTTTATCCAGATGGACTGGGAGAAGACAGAAGTAACTGCTGTCCAGTGAGTTGCTGTGACTATCTGCGGGTGGTCTCCGGGCAAACAAAAAGAGCTGTAGAACTAGTTGGTAGGATGACTACCATGTGTCCTGAGCCCCTCTAAATCAAACTACAACCTTTTGACTTCTGACCCTATGAGAAAAAAACAACAGCTTAATCATTGTTCATTTCCTTCCTTGAGCCAAGGGTTGTCATGGGGCGTCTGCGAGGTTAAGCCGAATAGCGGCTTCAGTTTTTTAGCTACTCTGCGAAGTGCTGATCTTCCTAAATATGAGTTACTTTAGCTTTAGCGAAACCCCGACATCCAGGCACGTCTCCCAGAAGTATCAAATGTTTGCCCACATGGTGGTTTCCTGAGATGGCGTCAGCCTTTGGGAATGTTCTGTAACCCCAAAGCGAATGGAGAGCTTGAGGGGGGCAATTAAGTCAAACCGTGACCTCGACCCTCCTGACTGCTGCGGTTTCAGTGGGAGAAACGGTTCTTTCATCAGGGGTTTCCTGCTGACCATGGCGTGATGTAAGCTTTTCCATCCCAAAGTCTGGACGAAAAGGTGAAGACATGAGCTCAGAATTGATAGGAGGTTATCATTGTAAATGCTCACCCGGGGGCCGCGACCACTTGCCGGGAGTCAAACGGACCGATGATTGATTAGGATAATCAAATTGCCTCGTTTTGACGGCGATGTAACAGCATCATGAGAATCGTTGTGCTCAAACGTGAAAAGTGTGAAACGTGCGCGGTGGTGTTCGGTGTGAGGGCTAAAATCTTGGCCAGAACGTCCAAGTTTGAGGTTCAGACGTGTGCTTGCGGTGTTACTTTTGGCTCAGGAGGCAGGAAACTGGTTGTTTGAAGCACGAATCAAGAGGAAGCGAGGAGGACAGATAACCACAGCTGGATCCAGTTCAGAAAAAAAAAAAGAGCAGACCAGCAGACATAAACTCAGCCTAATCCTGTTTGGAAGAATCCCAAATCTCCACACATCCCGTGTTCACTCCTCACTCCGTGAATGCTGAGAGACAAGCATTCACACTAATGCTGTTATGCATCCAAAAATATTATGACCGATGGGTTTTCCACTGCGTCCCCCCTCCCTTCCATCTAAACACAAAAAAACAAACTCAAAGATGAGTGCATGGAACAGAAGAGCTGTGACACAGCAGTGACGCCATGCGTCTTCCGAAAAACTGATGTCATCATTGCACTGCTCCGTTTTCATTGCAAATGATTGCGGAATGAAAAACAAAATGAGCAAAAGAGGTGCTTGTAATTTGACATTTGCACAATTCACACACTTGATGCCCATCCGCAGGTTTGCGATTCGCTGTCGTATGTTCCGCCCAGAGGCAACGACGCAGCACTGATGTCACGCATGATCTGGTGGGAATTGAAATTGCTGACTCAGCATCCATTCAGACTGACGCGGTTTATGCATTTATTCTTTTTCAGCAAAAAATAAAAAAATAGATAAAAATCTCAGCGCTCATGTACAATGATTTGACGTTGACCAAGACATGCATTTATCAGTCGAGAAAAATCAGCAATGCGTTTTGCGATCCTATCATCGGTCTCAATAGTCATCTTTGTAACTCGCTGACTGTGGCCCTGAATCATTCATTCCCAAAATACTCCTTTTTCTTTCCTCAAATACATTCCCAGTTTACTTTGGCCACGTGTTTTTTTTTTTTCTAGTGCCAGCCAGCTTGTGTCTCTCTATGAAACCATGACTGAAATGTTTCCAAACAGTAGAACAAACTTGTTATTTTAACTGCTCCGCACTCTCCGCACTGACCCCCCACTGCCCAGCAAGTCAATGTGTGAACATGAGACTCTGGTCTAGCCAAGCATCTCGCTCAGACTTCCACTACTGCGCATTTCTTCCACTTTTTTTCATCCGCCGGTCCAAACGTCACGTTTTTCCGCACGTGACGTCCCATCACCGCTCCGTCCCCCACCCACATGCACACAAACGCAAACACACCTACCCTGGCCGACTGCCTGCCCCCTCACTTACTCACTTAGCCCACCTTGCTTAAACATGGCGAATAAGGACCGGCATCATGCTCCAGTGAAAAGCTGAAAAGCACTCCGAGTTGAATTTCAAAACATATCACTTTGCATAACAGCAGCTATGGCTCGCGTATAACTTGACTGTTGTACGTTTGCTGCCTAATATGATTTCTCGGAGGTTCATCAACACCTTTGAGGCTATCGGCGTTGCAGCAAAACATAACGTGCAGTTATGCATGACAGGGAAAAGGGGGACTTTGGATCGCCAAATTGTTCAGGCCAGGATGGGGAAACATCTGTTGAACACGTGCTGATTCTGTCTGTGTTTCAATCCATAAGAAAGAAATTTGGCAAGAAACAACCTTTTCCCCCCTTGGGTACGCTCCTCCTACCTTACAAGTCTCGCGCATACATCGGACTTGTCTGAGGCAAGTTGAGCTTTGTCTCAGATTTCAGTGATTGTTTTTTAATCTATTTGTTTATTTTTTGAATGATAGAGTATGCGGGGATTGCAAAATGTCGAAAGCGGACACCGGTGCAGCTGAGGCTGGCATGCAACCTTTCACCTCTTTAAGACAAAGCTTTTAATGCTGCTTTTTTTCCCTATTATTTTCAGTGAGCTTCAGATGCTTTTGTGTTTGGCGCGGGTGTGCGTTGGGTGGGACTGAACACCATGAGAGTGGCGGTGGGAAACTTCAAACCACTTTGCATGTTTATTTCTCTCAGCCAGACTCCCATCTTATCAGAGGATGAGCTCATCGGAACTCGAGTCAATCTGGAAAAGACTTTTTTTTTTTTTTTTTTTAATACTTTGAGAGGAGCGCTGTACTAAGCCACAGTTCAAATAAGTTATTGGCAAGAAGAGGGGGCAACTTTCTGGAGAACAAAATGAAGAGGAACTCTGATCTCATTTTCCTCAAATGACACATGTGGTTTTTAGTCCGTGTAGTTGTGACAGAAGTTTAAGATGCAACAACGGTGTGATGAATCGCGCCGCCGTGCCATTACGACCACTTGGACAAGCAAACATGAGTTTCCTTCCATCTCGGCGTTTGATTCAAAGACTTCATCTGTTCCACTCTCCCAACATCTGGAGACACTAAACTTTGTGTAACCAGATCATAAGTCGAGTGTCCTGCTGCATGTCAAAATCATTGGCCGTGATTCCACACCTCGGCAACGCTATGTTGCTGAGCGTCGCCTGACAGACTGACTTTGCTGAGGCAGGAAGTACGGCTTTTTCCTCCACTGAGGTCAAGAGGAAAGATGCACATGACTTTGAAGAAATCGGGAAAGGAAGGAGTTGAAATGGCAGCTCTGATGAAAGCTATATCTAAACTCATGCTGACTTGGTAATCCAATCCGTCTCCACTCAAGAATAACGATGCTTCGTGAAGCTTCGCCAGCCTGTCAAGTCTAATATTGTAACAATCAATAACTGTGAGGCGGACGTGCTGTCACCGTGCTTCCCTGACCGCAACACCCGAGCCAAAAAACAATAACAATGCTTCGTGAAGCTTCGCCAACCTGTCAAGTCTTAATATTGTAACGATCAATAACTGTGAGGCGGACGTGCTATCACCGTGCTTCCCTGACCGCAACACCCGAGCCAAATCCTCAAACATACAAGCAAAAGCTAAACAATTCTGCCGTTCAGATAGCCAACATAGCACTTGGTCGCAGTTGTAATCCAACTGTTAACAAAAAAAAAAAAAAAAAACCTGTGGCAGCTTACCATTTTTAAAGCACTTGGTCGCACTTGTAATCCAACTGTTAACAAAAAAAAAAAAAAAATACAAACCTGTGGCAAGTTACCTTTTTCGCAACAGACAGCTTTGCGCCCTGACAAGAATTTGGCGGTAGATATAATCATGTAACAAGATGTGTATTATTCTGGTGGTTGTCGACAAGTTGTGTCGTACTGCACTGCATCATACTCGACTTTCTCACCGTTTCAATCAACACAAAGCATAGTTCTCCTTTTTGAACGGCTCTCGTACCGGATGGCTCGAGCTAGCTTACATATGCACCTGATGGCGTGACCAGTGAATGTACTTCTCGCTGTTAGCATTGACCTCTGTTTTAACTTGAATGTACACAACGTCGCCGCCCACTTTCCCTGACTGAGCACAAAACGCCAATTCATGCAGTGAATAAACATGACTGCCTGTTGCTTGGGCCGGTGCTCAAGCACCAGCACGGTCAAAGAAGTACAGCAACAGCGGCTACGCTCGGCCCATTCCTTTCTCGTTTCCACTTGAAAGGCCTCACCCAGACGGAGGAAATATTTACAGGGTGGGGGGACTAAATGCCAACAACACCCCTGGGACTGTAAACACACAACAAATAAGGAACCAGTGGGTGCTACATAAAAAGCCGTCCTGTAAAAAAAAATTGCTAATCATCGACATTAGTGAGCCTTTTAAAATGTCCCTTCCAACTGGATAGACACAGATTTGCTTCTCTTAACTGACACAGTGGCAGCCGCCGTTCGAGACAGGTATTTCATTCTCCTCCTGCCATGACAAATTCTTAGGTCACTGACCATCTTCCGGTGTTGCTTCATCCGCTTTAGTCTGGCTCAAATGGGAAGCCCTTTGCGTCAGAGAGCTTTTCAGACATTTCTTTTGCTTCCTTGCCTGTCTTCTATCACGCCTACGTCGACTTTCCATCTGGTATGGAGGTGTTGACGGCAGCCAGACGTGATGAGCTTCCCCTGCTCACGGGGTGGGAAGCCATTCCAGTGTCTCAGAGAGGGGGGCCGGGGGGGGGGGGGGGGGGGGGGGGGTGAGAGGAGATGAGCGTGTGGGCAAAGAAACGGGCCTGACAAAGTCATTACTTTGGCAGAAAATCTGACCTGCACGTGCAAGATGACTCGAGGTTTTCATACCGCAGTGTTTGCTCATTCTTCACTGGCATATTTTACACATTTGGATGTTAAAATTCTGATTCTAACTCAAAAACAACCGGCTGTATGTCGGCTATAGTATCCTGACCTGCTCGTCAAAAGCCATCAGCGCGTGATAGATCAATTTAAGCTAGGCTACATCCACGGTAGCCGCGGCTTATCCCATCTCAAGTTAACGATCTCGAAGCAAACGCGCAATGCATTACACGATGTGGCATATGTTTATCCTACCTTGTCGCTGTTGCCCTGAGTCCGGATAAACTTGAAGCCTGGAATGCGCTGCGGTGAGCACACCACCCCGACATCTTCTGAATGTTTGCAGTCGCTCACTCCGAAGCCGTTGGAGCGACACTCGGCGAGGCTGTTTTCTCGACCGTTGCAGTCCACGTTGTCGAGCCAAATGCGGCCTGCAACGGACACGAGAAAAGAAAGAATTACATGGCTTACATGAATAATAAAGTTTAGGCGAAAGGCGGCCTGGCCCCACTTTTTACCTCTGTTCACGGGAATACCAAACTAACTCACTTGGACAACAAACCCAGTCAAGTCAAGTGATGGATCATGCCGGGCAGCTGATTCATCTGAATAAACCGCACAATGATTTAAACCGTACAAACCACCAGACTGCTGGTCATTCTGAGCCAGCAAGACATCGACAAACATTCTGATTATACACCCCCCCCCCAAAAAAAAAAAAAACGTGACTGCATGTGAGACTGCCTGTCACTTAGCTGCCTGGAACCTTTTGAATAAGTCTTTAAACATGTCCGTTGCCCAGTTTTCCCGAACAATAGCAGCACTGCCAGTTGTGATAAACCTGTATTACCCCATTCAATGATATTTGCCGGTTTTATGGAGGATTGAGTTTAGCGAGCCGTCCGCTTTTACGGCGGTCCTCAGTTGCACTGTGCAAAGCGTTCCCAGAAACATCCGAATAACAATTGTTTTTTTGTGCAGTAGCAGTGGAGCAACGTCCAAACTTAAATGGCTTTTGCAAGGACCTGTCCATTTGTTTTACACGTTAAGGTTGCAAATGTTGTATTGTTGTTGGCAGCCGAGAAGCTTGTAAACAGTTCTACAAGGGGGGAAAAAGAATAACACTTGGTCGGGATTACTGGCTGTGTACTTTCTTGAGTTGATTTATTTTAAAGCATCGGGTTCCTGACACATTAGTCATGATGATAGGATGATACTGAAATTCCCCTGAATTACTTTTATGGCTTTTTATCTCCAACAACGGTAAGGAAACAGCTTAATTGTTTCCATGCGGACACATTAAAAAAAAAAGAAAAAAAAAAGAAAAGAAAAGAAAAAAACCCCTCTTGCATGTGTTTTTGTACACACCTCCTCTCCTCTACCCACCTTAACTATAACGCCCTCCGGTGTTGAAGTCTAACAAATTTGTGATGTCAGGATGTCAACATTTCTTTGAACTCCAGTATCTAAAATCATCTTGAATCTTTCCAAAAAATAGACAAACAAATCTAAAAAAAAAAAAAAACCTCAACCTACTTATTATGAAAAGATGGGGAGGATTTTTTTTTCTTTTAAGTTCGACTCTGACAGCTAATAATGTAGCTTCCAAAATGTCATATGTAACTTCCTTTTTATTATACAACGGCGACAGTGAGGTCAGCAATTTGGGTGAGATAAGAAAGTAAAAAAGTCCAAATGGAAACATGACAATTAACAGCCAGCCATTTTAAAAAATTGATTGTCAGGCATATGATTTGGCTCCAAACAATTGCCCTTCGTCTTTTCCACACAAAACTTGATCAATTACAAGCAGTTACGCCGCAGCAGGGCTAACGTGTAAGCAAGTACGTCATATAGAACTGCGATTGTTTATAATCAGGCCTCCTCTTGTTTAGCTCATGTAAAGTATTTTGCATGCGGCGTGACACGGATCAGGTGTAACCATTCAAGAACGTCATTTTCAACGCTTGAGCGTGGCTGCCAACTGACATTCAGCAGCAGCTGGCCCAGAGGTGGAAATGTCATCAGTGTTTTGTTTTTTTTTTCCTACATGAAGGCAGAAATTCCCCACCACCTCAAAACACGTGCATACACAACACACACACACACACACACACACACACACACACACACACACACACACACACACACACACACACACACACACACACGGTCGATGCTGAATCGCCGTGACTTGTTTAATATGGAAAACACTGAAATGCAGTGTCTCGTTCACTTCACCGACGAGACACGGAAGACAAAATTTGCAGCCCTAGCCATGCTGGCTCTTGGCTCCCGAGTGTCCTGCTGCGTCCTTTTGATTGGAGGATACTAAATCAAGTGCACGTGAAAAGATTTGCAGCTATTTTTCTTACCGTGCCCCCTGCCGTACTTGGCCGAGGGTGACCATGACTCAGCGTCCACAAAGCCGAGCTCTCTGCACACCACCTGGGCGGCGTAGATGGAGAAGTCATCATCGCAGACCGTCCCCCACTCGCCGTTGTAGAGAACTTCCACCCGGCCTTCGTGTTTCTTCTGTTTCTCTCCAACCAGACGTAGCTGTATGGCCGGAGTGCCGGACTCGCTTTGGGCATTGCACGGTAGCCACGTGCATACGAGCATGAAGCATAAGAGCCAGAGGTCCGAAGAGGTTATTGCTTGGCGCAGCATGATGCAGTCTGATGGAAGAAAAGACAATGAGTGTTAGCAAGATTTTTTTTAATTTGACATATATGACATTCCTGGCAAAAATCAACCAACCCATCAATGAAGTATCATGTACCCCTTCTTTTCGCTCATATTGGATTGAAAAAAATCTGCGAGTAACTGACACCAATCCAAAAGTATGGCTCCACATCAAATTCTATAAGCATGGAATTACAGTGGAAACTCTTGAGTTTGATCGCAGTCTATTACAAGGCGCTAGTTGGCTTCCTCTGCTTGTATTTCAACCTTTTCAGGGACAGCGGTTACGACAGTGGACAGCTTATCATGTTATCAGGTTACAGACTGCATGAAGGGGTTGAAACAAATTTCCACATCAGAAATAATGGGAATCAGGAAAATTCATTTTCAAGGTCAAACAGTCACCACGAGGAAACCTATTAACCATACAAGCTGCATTGTAAGCCACATTTTTTTTACATGGGTCAGAACGTGCCAGTTTATCGCTAACCGATATTTAACATGTAGTTACAAAACTCACAATTACGGTAATATTTGTATGAAAATCACTTAATGGCCATAATATATACATAAGAATGGCTCATTGTGTGCTGTCAAAAACAGGACCAGATCGCTATTGGTTCTGCTTTTATCAACACTTGTTGAAGCCAGACAGAAAAAGCTAAAGCTAACGCTCAATCCATGATGGAGTACTCACAAACGTGTACTCTAGCGAGGCACACTGAGGTCTGACTGATGTCATGCTTTTGCTGGCAATTTGTGCAACTATTGAGGCCACTTTGTACAACTTGAGAAGTCCCACGCAATTGGATGCCAGTTGGGGGATGTTTGGATATGAATGCTTTTCCATAACCAAAGAGTTAAAACCGAGGGCTGGAACGGATATGGGGACGGGGATGAAGAGAGAGCAGTGTGAAGGAAAAAAACGGTTTTGCAACAGTTTGGCCCTGAGCGGCCTCCTCATCTGGCCTCAACTGCGCCTCGAGAATCACGACCAGATTTTTATCTCAATGTGTCAAAAAAAACCCAAATGTGACTGCCAAACAGACAGTTGCCGAATTTGACATAAGGTGGGAGAGAAAGTTCTGATTAGAGATCAGTAATCTTTCTTTCTCGCTCGCTCTCAGTGACAGCCTCCTGAGGAGCAAATGTTGGCTCCTGCAGGAAAAGTGCCGCCCTTTGTCATTCATCTTAACTACGCCCGGGGGTTCTGCCACTGGGGCTCAGAGGGGAAAGTCTACTCGACCTCGATATTTCATGAGCAACCATGCAACTGTCAGCCGAGGGACCAAGATGCCCTCGGGGAGGAATGTTTCAGGACAAAGTCGAAGGAAGGCAGGCAGTGAACGTGGGAGGCGCAGAAGAAGATCTCCACGTCACTTTTGAGCGAGGGGGAGGAGAGAGTTTTGCAGTTGACGTCAAGCTAACTGGCAAACCAACTGCAGTGGGCGCACGCACGAGAGAGTAACCTGGAGAAGACATTCCGAAAAAAAAAAATAGCTTGGCTGCAGGAGTGCTTTCTCTGGCTTCATCATCTGCTTGAGGATGGACTCATACTCCTTTCTGCCATTTATGGCCTGTGAGAGTGTTTCATTATACTGTCATGAATTTTGTATGACCCTCGGAGGGCTTATAGGATAAACACCCAAATGGCCCCTGATAGCAAAGAGTTTCCTCACACAAAGCAACAATGAGGTATCGCTTTCACACTCTTTACCGTTGTATGCAAGTAGTTTGCAGAGATGTTGAAAAGCACTGCATCATACAGAGAGATGTTCCAAACATTGTTTGCATACCTTACAGTAGGTTATCGATATCAACAGGACACAATATTGAAAATACTGTAGCTCTCTTTCTGATGCATGCAATCATATACCATCATAAACTTATACATTAACATATTGCAGCGACAAACGTGACCTTGTAAACTGGGAATATATGTGTAAAGGAAATGTGAAACATGTTCTACAATTACAGTGAAGTGTTATCTCTGACTGTGAGTAAAATGAGGAATTGCAGCATGTTGTACATTTTTGCTAATAAGTCATCTAATATTTTGGACAGTAAGGAGTCCACTTTCACCAGGTGTCACTATCAATTTAAGTGTCATGGGCCTCAGTTAACAGTACATACTCGTTAGAATAAATTATGCCAACTTTATCAAACGATGGAAGCAGCTTCGCGGAGTAGAAAAAAAAAAATCATCGAGTGTCACGTGACGTGAGACATACGAAATTGACCTCAAGCCTTAAATATTAAAAGAAAGAAAGATCAATCTTACTCCTGCAGACGAAGAGTCCTTCCCAAAAGTTAGACTTGACGTGTTCAACCTGTGTGAGGGTTTGAGGTGTTAGGCGGTGTTCCTTCGTTCCTTTTTGTACTTTTGCTGGCTCTTCTCGCAGCTCCCCTCACAGCTGGCAGCGCGCTCCCGTCCCACTCCTCAGGCTCACGGCGGCCAATCAGCGGCGGCCTCAGCATCCTGACCCCGCCCCTTCACCCCACCCCTGCCCTAAGCACCACCGGGGTTACACAAACACACCATAACATGGACCTGCATCCATCATAGGGGCTGCTGTGCTTTTGTGTAGCTTCAAGTTTTCCTCAAGCTTTGTAAGGATTGACTATTGTACGATGGGCAACGCTATTCTGAAATGTGGGGTTTGAATTTTAATTCTGGCTATTTCTAATGTAAAATGATTTATGGGCGAAAGGGCACACTCACTCAACTCTGTGAATTTGAGTTTCAGTGTGGGACATTGGCTTAAATATGAGGAAAGCTGTCCAATACATAGACAGTCTAATATATAAGTGCTCGGTCCCTTCATTTTTTTGAACAATTAATTCATTTATGTAACTTCCTCTATTAGTTTTACTACAGTCACAATAAAACAGAAATTAATATACAATATTAAGGCAATCCTTAGTAGCTTAAATGGGGTCGTTCTGCGTTTGCGTAACTCACGCGTTTGAATCTTGAAAGGTCCCCTTTGCACCGCACGTGACTTCAAGACACCCTCTAGCGGTAAGAATGAGAATAAACTGACAACCATGACGTCAGCTCTGCAAGTTTCAGCACTGCTCAAAAGATTAAATAAAATGCATGACTAAATTAACTTACAAGATTTGCCCCTACTACTCCATTGGGGACTTGATGGAACTTGGCAAAAGTGCACAAATGGCTCAAACATGTTTTTAAACTCTGCTGCGTTTGGAAAGTCATCATTTTTGATCGGTGGGGAACGGACGTGCAGTACAATTTTAACATGGAAACAAATGGCAAATGTATGCTGACTTCTCATACGGTGTGTGGTGTCAACAAAGTATGACGAAGTGATAATCTCGACTGAGATCAAATTTAAACGTCTGATTGAAGATTAATTTAGCCCGCGCTGTTAGTGAAAGTTACATGTTCTCAATGAAATTGTTTCCGGGTTGCTTCCTAATTGGATATCGTTTTATTTGACGTCACGATCACAGAATCAATTACCGGGATGATATATGTGTTGACTACACGTCAGGATTTGCAATTGAAAATATTCAACAGGTTTAACATTTACGATTATTGGCCCAGAGCGTTTTAGGGATGGGGAAAAAGAGCCTTTGCTATCATTGATCGAAAGAGAATGCTCAATTTGGGCCCATTTCTGGGTATATGCATGCTATTGCTAAAAACATAATCACTCAACCTGCATAATGTAGACAAGTCCAATGTTTACCTGCATACCAGTTTGAAGAGTTAATTGCATGTTTGTCTCTACCGATCCTTATCAATGCTGAAAAGTTCGAAGGCCTCGTCTTACCTTGGTAGTCGAATCACAACAGGACGGCAACGGCGGTAGCAGCAGATTTTAAGCACGTAGCTTCAACCTTACAGAGGTTACTGACCAGCTAACCCTATTGTGACGCTTTCCAAATTCAAATAGCTCAGACGTTCGCGGTTGAACAAGTTGTATGCTGAGAAGCAAAAATCCACGAGTAGTCATTAGTTTTTCCCTTCAAGCCAAAGTTGTAGTGTCTGCAGGAACACAGAAGCACCGATGGTATGTTGTGGGAGTTTGTAATCACTGAAGTGTGCAACAATTAGCTGGCAGTGAAACAGCAAACATGAACTTTTTATTTCAGGAATGCACAAAATATACCGTACAATTTGAGTACACCGTAGTACCAATTCCCTATACAAATATTAAGTCTTCTCATAAAGTATAAAATGTACATGCTGGATTTTGACGTTCGAAACAAATGAAACTCCGCCGCAACGCAACATCATTTGTCATTATTTTGGCAAAGAGATTGTGCTGAACGGAGCCTTCCATGGAAGAGCAGACCATCCATCACATTGCAGCACCTGCATCTTCCCTCGGGTTCAATCCGACCTGAGAATGCCATCAACGCTGGAACATGTTCAAACTGCAAATTCACATTGTGTGCGATCGCAGCATGGGATGGACGTGCGAGATGATCACTTTGGCCACAAGAGACGACTGCATGAGGAACTGACAGGAAACACGTTTTTCTCTATTCACAAAATAGACACAATCAAGGCACACCTTATTTGGATAACAGATGAATTTTGGGAAAACACGGTCGTGACAAAAATCTTCCGATACATGGCACAAGGTAATGGCAATTACGGCTGTGCTTCCAAACTCGTGCGAAAGAGGTTGTGTGACGGAACGCGTGATTCAGTTGTCCCAAGAAGTGCTCTTCTTTTTAAATGATCCCACATATGTCAGGATTGTAAAGCTCATGATGTCACTACTATGCATATCTGTAAATATATACACTCTGCAGACCATAAAATGACTCAAAGGTCTTAATAAAACAAGCAGCATTAAAAAACGCTTTGAATGACATATGTGGATACATCTCAATAAATGTGAAGTTTAAAAAAAATATATTGTAGTAAACTCATTTACCATTCACTAAACACACAGGAAAATGCTTTTTGAGGATTCAAATTCCTACCTTATTTCTGTATTAATGTATGAGTTCCAAATTTTAGTTACCTCCAATGTTGTAATTTATTGAGATGCACTGTGATGGGGAATCCAATAAAAGTAAACTTGTTTAAAAATTGAACGTATTCAAAATAGTCACTTTGTATATGAAAACTCAGGAAGAAACTAAAATCCCACTTCAACTCAGGCACTCACTGGCATGACTTCCAATTATTTGTATGTAAATGACACCATGATAGAACCCCCCCCTACTCCCACAAGTCAATAAATGAAGACAAAATACACAAAATCCTTCCATATTGTCAAACTATGCCTCACTTTTGTGCTTGAACACTGCTCGAGTTCAATATTTCCGTATGAGGTATGCAAACATGTACAAGATTCACTCCAGATACTTGAAGTACGTTGATGTGCACCATCCAATGCTTTGCGTGCTCTCTTAAAAGAGAACTTTTCACGTTTTACTCCGTTCCCAATTTGGCAATCAGCTCATCGCAGATCTTTGTGAGCTCCTCAATCTCCTGATTCTGTGTAGACAAAAAGAACGTTCATAGTAACGCTGGGGAACACAATTTTATTCTTGTGTTCGGTCTGACGGCTGTTTTTGGGTGCAAAATCCAAAACGTATCTCGATTTTTCTCTATCGCAGCAACTTTTTGAGCTGTGGCATCCCCGTTCTCTTCAAAAAATATGAAATAAATCCATGGAAAGGTGAGAAGCTTTGACCACACACTCCCTTAAAAAAAAACTTCAGTGTTGCCCAGTGTAATAGACATGTCATTTGACTACTGTGCTATTTCTTAAATTAAATGCTGCCCCCTTGTGTGAGAGACTGCATCCTTTTTGTAGTTTCCCAAAGTGGCTATGCAAGTCTCCAGCTCCGCAAATTCCGAATAAGAGGCAATGTTTTCATGAGTGAAAGTGCAATAGAACCCCCCCCTACTCCCACAAGTCAATAAATGAAGACAAAATACACAAAATCCTTCCATATTGTCAAACTATGCCTCACTTTTGTGCTTGAACACTGCTCGAGTTCAATATTTCCGTATGAGGTATGCAAACATGTACAAGATTCACTCCAGATACTTGAAGTACGTTGATGTGCACCATCCAATGCTTTGCGTGCTCTCTTAAAAGAGAACTTTTCACGTTTTACTCCGTTCCCAATTTGGCAATCAGCTCATCGCAGATCTTTGTGAGCTCCTCAATCTCCTGATTCTGTGTAGACAAAAAGAACGTTCATAGTAACGCTGGGGAACACAATTTTATTCTTGTGTTCGGTCTGACGGCTGTTTTTGGGTGCAAAATCCAAAACGTATCTCGATTTTTTTCTATCGCAGCAACTTTTTGAGCTGTGGCATCCCCGTTCTCTTCAAAAAATATGAAATAAATCCATGGAAAGGTGAGAAGCTTTGACCACACACTCCCTTAAAAAAAAACTTCAGTGTTGCCCAGTGTAATAGACATGTCATTTGACTACTGTGCTATTTCTTAAATTAAATGCTGCCCCCTTGTGTGAGAGACATGCATCCTTTTTGTAGTTTTCCAAAGTGGCTATGCAAGTCTCCAGCTCTGCAAATTCCCAATAAGAGGCAATGTTTTCATGAGTGAAAGTGCAATTATTACAGGAATCGCTTCATAACATGTTATGAAAAAAGTGTCGTCATTAAACAAAGGGCCCTTCCATGCTAATGCCATCAAGTACGGAAATGTTTCCTTTCTATATCCGGGGTGCCGCGGTCCGGTTCTCGAGAGCCCGTATACAGCCTGTTTTTCAGTGTCCCCCGTCTCCAAAACAGGCCCCCTGACCCATTAAAAATGATTTGGAAAAATAATCTAACAATTGACAAATCTAACACTGATTTTCCCCAAAGTCAGTCGATGCTCTTCTCTCAAAACCTTATCAAGTTGACAGCCAAATGCGATATTTTGTGCGCCGTACCTTCTGAAGGACGGCCCTTTCAAGCGAGTCCACCTTCATCTGTTCTTTCCTCAGGCTGGCGTTGAGCGCGAGCCCCTCTGCATTGGCCTTGGAACGCACCTGCGCTATCTCCTCATTGGCCCTGTCACAGTAGGTAGAAATGACAGATTTGTGTCAAAAAAAAAAAGATTATCTGACACACATCAAGACTAAATTTGAGCAAATTATTTCGCCTAGGTCAAAGTATCAGCCTAAAAGAGTCTGTTTTGTTATGACTGCTACTACTACGAAGTCTGAAAAATGCATCCTTTTTGTAGTTTTCCAAAGTGGCTATGCAAGTCTCCAGCTCTGCAAATTCCCAATAAGAGGCAATGTTTTCATGAGTGAAAGTGCAATCATTTTTACGGCTTAAATCCGTCCGGGACCACAAATTGCGCAAATATTCAACACGAATCTCACCGATCCAGTTTCTCCTCCGCGTGCACTTTGAGGGTTTGGTAACGCTGCTCCTCCTGCTTGATGCGCGTCAGGTAGTCCTGTGCGCATTTCTTCAGGACCTCCTCATTCTGGAGATGCATGGAGAGGGGGGCGGGGGGATATGCTGATGCGAGAGGTGCCCGACTCAACCTATCGTGACGTCCAAAGCTCGACTGACCTTCTTGAAGCCCTCCAGGACCCCCTTCATGTTTTCGTACCTCCTGAAGAGGTCAGCGAAGGAGCGCTCCACAGAATTGAGGTCAGCCAGGGCCTGGTCCCTCTCCATCGTCAGCTGTCTGACCGATTTACTACAGGACAGCGTCTTCTGCTCCTGCTCACCCTCTATATAACAAAGATGATGTTGTTGTTGTTGACAATGTAGATGAGTTGACGACAATGATGACATCACAGAGAGGTGTGAGGGCACACTTTCTGGGCCTGCCGCGCTGACAGGAGCAATATACAGAAGCAACCGCCAGGGGGCAGTGACTCACCAATCATCTGGGCAACCGTCTTCTCATACTCCGCAACTATTTTCCTGCCAGCACGAGAATACAGCGTGAGCAGCGTAAGTCTTTTTTTTTTCAATATGTGAGTGGATTTGTGCTTGGTGTACCTCATCTCTAAAACTTCAGCTCTGCTCTCCTCGTACTTTGTCTTCCACTCGTTCACCTCAATCTCTTTCGTGATGATCTGATGGCGGCAACAAAGGGAGATGAAGACGGGCGCGATTAGGAATCTGACTCAGAGGAGGGGCGACGTACCTCCTCTCTGATGAGGGTCAGCACCGCAGCCTTGTCAATCTCGGTCAGGGAAATTTTGTCTTGGCACGGGACCCCCGGGTCGGCATCGTCGCTGCACATTGTGGGATTCTCGCGCTGTAAAACGTTGGGGAAACACACGAGCTTGACTTTTATGCTTCTTCGTTCGAAATGAGTATCAGTCAAAGCACGACATCACATTTCCTAGGCGCTCTCCTTTTCGGAGCCATTGTTGGCCAACATTAGCTACACTTCTGACCGTTTACAACCAAGCGTTTCTAAACACTGCTGGAGACCAGTTTTCCGTTTTCTTTCCCTCTTATCTTGTTCAGAGGTGAGCATTCAAATTCGCATTCACGCCGCCTTGGGTGGGCCTCGTGCTACCAGATATGGCCACCCTGGGACAAATAAAGGTTATCTTATCTTAAAACTCTCGCGTCAACATTTGGACATTTTTACGGCTTAAATCCGTCCGGGACCACAAATTGCGCAAATATTCAACACGAATCTCACCCATCCAGTTTCTCCTCCGCGTGCACTTTGAGGGTTTGGTAACGCTGCTCCTCCTGCTTGATGCGCGTCAGGTAGTCCTGTGCGCATTTCTTCAGGACCTCCTCATTCTGGAGATGCATGGAGAGGGGGGCGGGGGGATATGCTGATGCGAGAGGTGCCCGACTCAACCTATCGTGACGTCCAAAGCTCGACTGACCTTCTTGAAGCCCTCCAGGACCCCCTTCATGTTTTCGTACCTCCTGAAGAGGTCAGCGAAGGAGCGCTCCACAGAATTGAGGTCAGCCAGGGCCTGGTCCCTCTCCATCGTCAGCTGTCTGACCGATTTACTACAGGACAGCGTCTTCTGCTCCTGCTCACCCTCTATATAACAAAGATGATGTTGTTGTTGTTGACAATGTAGATGAGTTGACGACAATGATGACATCACAGAGAGGTGTGAGGGCACACTTTCTGGGCCTGCCGCGCTGACAGGAGCAATATACAGAAGCAACCGCCAGGGGGCAGTGACTCACCAATCATCTGGGCAACCGTCTTCTCATACTCCGCAACTATTTTCCTGCCAGCACGAGAATACAGCGTGAGCAGCGTAAGTCTTTTTTTTTTCAATATGTGAGTGGATTTGTGCTTGGTGTACCTCATCTCTAAAACTTCAGCTCTGCTCTCCTCGTACTTTGTCTTCCACTCGTTCACCTCAATCTCTTTCGTGATGATCTGATGGCGGCAACAAAGGGAGATGAAGACTGGCGCGATTAGGAATCTGACTCAGAGGAGGGGCGACGTACCTCCTCTCTGATGAGGGTCAGCACCGCAGCCTTGTCAATCTCGGTCAGGGAAATTTTGTCTTGGCACGGGACCCCCGGGTCGGCATCGTCGCTGCACATTGTGGGATTCTCGCGCTGTAAAACGTTGGGGAAACACACGAGCTTGACTTTTATGCTTCTTCGTTCGAAATGAGTATCAGTCAAAGCACGACATCACATTTCCTAGGCGCTCTCCTTTTCGGAGCCATTGTTGGCCAACATTAGCTACACTTCTGACCGTTTACAACCAAGCGTTTCTAAACACTGCTGGAGACCAGTTTTCCGTTTTCTTTCCCTCTTATCTTGTTCAGAGGTGAGCATTCAAATTCGCATTCACGCCGCCACTAAGTTGGAAGTGAGCATACGCGACCTGCACCAACGTTAGGCCAGGAAACCGCGACACTGTCAGTGACTGTTATGAAGCACTCATATGCTATTCAGGTTGCTGTTCCAGATCAAAATTCCAGGACTGTTTGTGATACATCTGCATTAAAATGGTGCTCACATTTGCATTGATTGGCATATCCAAATATTTTTCAGAGCCACCGTATGTAAGCGTGTTTGTCTGGGACAAACACTGAAAGGGTTGAAGGGAGTCATTGCTACGAGCATTTAAAAAAAAAAAAAAAAAAAAAAAAGGAGTGAAACATCTCACTATGGTCTGTCTCGCGGAGACAAACATGAGAAGAAAACATGATTAAATAATGACGACAGTTCACTTACCGTGTCATCCTTCACAATGCAGGCGTCCTTCTCGTCTTCATGATCCACTGTCTCGGGAGCTATGAATGGAAACAGAGCACAGTTGTAAACATAACATTGTAAACAAGTCTTGTTTGAAAATTTGTACCCTCGGTAACACTTTTGTGTCAGTCTTTCCCTTTCCTTTTTTTTTAAGAGTAAATTATGGATAAAGGTACTGACAGACATGCACATTTTTTTTTTTTAAAGGCCTGTAAACTTACTATCCGTGACGGGTGTGTCATCAAGAGTCTGTTTTTTGCCGCATGTTTTCTCAGATTCAGACTCTCCTTTCGGCGGGGGCTCGTCTTGTGTTGTCTGCCCCGTAATGACCGTGGACGCCAGCTTCTCCTCGTCAGTGGCGTGATGAACTCGCTGTGAGATCTCCGGCGAGGTAACCACCACCTCGTTCTCCTCCTGGTGGCCATGGGGGAGACAATTACTGTCTGACAATTTCAATGAGTTCACACAGTGTGAAAAGAAAGAAAAAAAAAAGTTGGGTGAACTCAAAATCTCAAGGCAACACACTTTGAGTTGTGTGGGGTGCGTTTTGGGATTGTTTAGAGGTTGGACAGCTGCTAAAAAAAAAAAAAAAACATTCTTGTTGAAAGAGTTCAGTCGCACGCTCAAATGATCAAATTACCGGCTTGCACACGTCCTGCGATTGCGATTGGCTCTCGTCATGTTTCTCGACTTTACAGGGGTTCCTGTGAGACAAAAAAAAATAAATAAATAAAATAAAAATATATGTTTGAAGCCTTGAGACTTCAATGTAACTCAAAGATGCTATTGAAGTGGGGCCAGTTGAAAATCTGACACTAGCTGCTTCACATGCTTCTTTTAGAGTCACTGACCGACAGCACCGAGCCCGACGATATTTCGATAGGCCGCGGGCATGCTTCAAACAAAGCGGGCATTAATAGTGATCGTACTTACAACAGAAAACAGAGAAACTTGGCTTGTTCAGATGTCCTGAGGCCGACAGAA